TCATGGAATGCTCAAGCATTTCTCGCGAAATGAGAACGAAGCCGAAGATCGCGATAAGAATGTTTGATATAAAATTGACGAATTAAAACATGAAGGTATAAATAAGATTTTTTTCATTTATCTAATGCACACACTAAGATCACAAAACCGTCAATGAATCAGTCGCTTTCAGTCGCTTCGGTCTCGTTTCCCGTGAAAACGATCTCTGAATCACCCGAGGATCGGAGCCAATGATGACAACTCGTCATCTTATTCTCAGAGTACACGTTACCTTCGTAAATCAATCGTCTTCCCATGCTGTCCTCATCGAGGAACATTCATCGGTGTCACCGACCGACATCACGAACGTCGACTTAACAACGTCGACTTTTCATCAAATTCGTCGGCATGAGACAAGACAAACTTAAACGTTCTGCTGTTAACGAAAGCAATCATCTTTCTCTCTTCGTCTCTCTCTTTCCCTCGTCCTCTTTTTCTCGAGCCGGAATGGAACCGAAACGAGCCTCGAACCCGCTGAAAAATGTCATCCGGCCAGTCATATCGTAATAATGTTTTCCTCCTTCGTTTCCGCTTAACGTAGAATACAGAATTAGCCTAATAGAGACCGCAGCCACGAAGATTATTGGCGATAATAACGTCTGTGACTGCGTCGAACACAAATTGAATGTTGTTCGTGTCGGTAGCGCAGGTCATGTGGCAGTAGATCTCCTTCGTGGTCGACTTGTTCTTTGCTTCGAACTGAGCCTGGATATATGCGGCTGCTTCGCCATATTCTTGCGCACCTGCGACGGGAATTTATAACATTTGTTAAATATTTTCAAAAGTATGGGAAAAAAAACCATCAATGTGTGCGTGCGTAAAACTAATACATGTATATTCTTTGGCATAACTCACCGGTATATTCAGGAAAACAGATCGTGAGAGGAGACTTGCGGATCTTCTCCTCAAAGAGATCCTTCTTATTCAAGAAGAGAATAATCGACGTGTCGGTAAACCATTTGTTGTTGCAGATCGAATCGAATAATTTTAAGCTCTCCTGCATTCGATTCTGTAAGATACCGAAAAAAAAGACAATTATGAAATACAAATATTTGAGTACTTGAAAAATTAATAAAGCGAATGTAATTCGTTGCTTGCTTTTTGCACGATCGATAAAAACTGATCAGCGATACAGATCTGGAGACAGACTTCGTGATGATGACAATTAACGTTGCTATATAGTATAATAACACGCGCGTATGTCTCTCTCCGTGCACGCGACGAAAAGTTCAACGAAACCTTCCCACGTGCAGCGACCCCGACAATTGATCTCTTGATTCCTCGGAGCTTCAGTTACGTGTACTCCTCGTCACATTTACAATTCGGACGTGATATGTCTTCCGACAGATCGTGCGTTCACCCGTATATCGTAGATAACGCAGATTATCTCACGTTCTTACAATACAAGCACATATAAATTTGCGCATTTATACAATTAAACGCAACAAGGGGAAATAATTGGCGTATCGAAAGGAGCAGATTAACAGGGTTTACTCACCGTCGTTTCGTCCTCGTGCAAGACCTGATCGTATTCGGACATCGCCACGCAGAAAATAATTGCGGTCACATCTTCAAAACAATGTATCCATTTCTTACGCTCACTTCTCTGACCACCTACGTCGAATAATCTAAGAAAAAGCACAGATAAAACGATTGACTTTTATCGCACGCGTTTTTTTGCTCTTTTATCACATCATGTTAACATATTAAAAACTAAAATAATAATCTTGATGAATGCAACAAAATATTTCTGTTTAAAATGATATCAAACATTTAGGGTTCAGACTGTTTCCAATACACAGTGTACAATTTAATATTCTCAGTTAGCGATGAGAGACTGATTTAACGGAGATGTAATTATCTCGACACGCATTTCAATCGCTAACGACGATGCTTTCCAACAAATAGAAAGAAGTATCGGCCGCGTACGACTCATCGCTCGGCTTCGTTCCAAGTGAACGCTCGAATTAACGCGGTAATAATATATGACTCATGCGTCGACCATTCATAACAAGGTAGCTGTCTCGTATCTCCAGAGTGTCGCGTTTGCTCGCGCGAGATTGTTGAAATGAGTCGGTATAATGAAGCAAGAACGAGCTATTGATATCCTTATCGCGCACGCAAGACGAAATGAAACCGCGCGAATTTATTTTAGCTTATGTGATTTATTCCTACGCAGACAAGACGACAAAGCTTCAACTCACTTAAAGTTGAGGTTTTTGAATGAGAAGTGGACCTCCACGATTCCCGTCGTTTTTACTCGGGTTCTGAGAATATCTTGTTCCGTCGGCTGGTAATCTCTGGCTCCTAATCGATCCAAATCGTCCAGAAAGCTAGAAAGAACAAGAGATTCGCAATAAATTCTTGACCAGTGAATTGACAATTTGAAGATGTATTTACACAATGAATCCAAATTTGATTCTGATTGCTGTTAATTTAATTAAGGCGAGAGCCAGGGTGCGGTTCGCAACAAGTAGCTGAACGTGGGCGAATATGTTAAATAGTGTTACTGTAATCCGGTCTTTGTAAATCGTTGTGTCACTATAACGAGGAAAGTATTTCATCGATCTAGCGTGCTTTTAAAGTTTAATCATCCATAAAATCGATGTAACTGACAAAACTTTTAATTCAATGTAATGACATATCCGCTGAAGATAATTCAATACCATTTATTTAACAGCCATATTAAAAAGTTAATATAATCTGTTATATCCGACAAATTTTCATACAAAATTGCAAAAACTAAAGACACTCCATAGCTATAATAGAATTTTTTAACTAAAATATCGAGAATGCAATGATTTAAAAGTTGTGAGAACGTCGCAGCGCCATCTTCCTAGGTCATTGCTTGCAGCATCTAGGGGTTGCGAAGTAAGAGATGCGTCACACTTTCTTCCAGCCTCCGTAATGGAAAAAGAAGCAAAAAAACGGAGCAGTCGGAAGCTGATGATAAAGAGGACAGATAAGTGAATCTCCGACAAGGAAAAGAGAGAAAAAGCAAGCAAAGAAACAAGTACACAAGAATATAAGAGAATAGTAAAAAATACGATAAACTGAAGGAGGAACATGAAAGAGACACAGAAAAAGAAAGAGAGAGAAAGAGAAAGAGAAAGAAAGAAAAGGAAAGAGCGTACAGGAAAAGAAAGATCGAAGCATGGGCAGTCGGGCTGCCATGAAGAATCCGGTGAATCAGGACATGCCAAACTTGAAATGAGCGAACAAGTTCTGATATACTATTTTTCTTGAGAGAGAAAATGCTTAGATTTTTGTGATAAGAGGAAGAAAGATAGGATGGTGAAAGAAGAACGAATAAATCAGGATGAAAATAAGAGAAAAGGAATACGCCGGAATCTGGTCGGCCATCTTGGCCGCATGCCACGTGACACGGGCGTGGCGTGACGTCATCGGCGATCAATAATGACGAGAGCAACGGAGAGGGAGAGAATCTCCGAAGAAAGCGATAGAGAGAAAGAGAATTGGCGCGCATTTCTCGTATATTTCGTCTATCTGAGTTTGCCACCACCGCGTATCCGTTCTTCTTCACCGTTACCCTCTTTTCTCGATCCGTTTTCCGCCAAACCTGTCGCATCTCCCTCACGTCGCATTCACCCTCTGACTTCTTCGGGAAATTCGCGTTACTCTCTTCCGACCCGTTTGCGAGATGAAGTCTCGTAGCAGCTTTCAATCGTACGCTTTATACATGAAGATTTCTGAGACTACTGATGCACAAAAATCTCTGTTCTTTCGGACTAATAACTTTACCGAACATATAGATTTGAGAGACTTTTTTAATAACGTCAATTTTAATAACAGTTTTTTTAATCAAAAAATCGAATAAACCAATCAAAGTTTTCACAAGTAAATTATTGCAAGATCGATATAATTCGACACCTATAGAAAAAATATAAGAGAACTCTCCTCTCTGATATTGATAGAAATTATTACAGAACAATGCGATTTCTCTGATGGTATATCGGACGACGACGCGGAGAAGGGATGCACTTGCGTGTGCAATAAGTGTAGTGTACGATGGAAACGATATCGTGCAGTCCAGTGCGAAACCGCAGTGCGGTTTATTAAAGTTAAGAACGGCGCCAGAAACAACGTAAGTCTGTGGCACTGAAAAAAATGTCGCTCTTTCATATGCTCGCTATACATATTGCGTGCAACGGTAAACACGTATGCACCAATTGGATCCGTATTAGCGGACCGGACCTTGCAATAGTACATAGTTACATACGGTGGAGAGGCATATGTACTCGCAAAATTGCGCGCCGCCGGCAATTTAATCTTTGATGACCGCGGCCAGTCCGCGCACCGCTTTGATTTCTTTTTTTAACAATCAGTAGGAGAATTTTGGAAAACGAAGCAAAAAGTCCTATGATATTCTTTAGAACTTTAATTTTACACAAAAACACGCGCTCGTAACAAGCATTGTTTTTATTATTATACGCTGGATTTTTTTTGCAATTAAATTAGAAGCAATGTTCGGAAAAGAGATAACACGAAAATATATTGAAAAACAACACTATCCCAAGAGATATAAGCGCTACTACAAAATCAATATCCAGCAAAGAGGTAACGCGGAAATATGCCTGCGAAACGTACCGAGAGGAACGAGAGAGACAAAGTCTCGCGTTCAGGATGAGGTTTGCTCCTACTCTCTCCGCTTTTTCGAGCACGCCAATTCTCAAGAGTGAAATTTAAGTTCCGAATACCTTTTCCGTGACACGTAACAAAGCCCAAGACGACTCTTTCCGGTGTAAAAAAATTGATTCAACTTCAAGTTTATAGTTTTGATAGCTGATAGAAATTTTAACTTGTGAAAACTTTTCGGTTTTGCTGCGCATAATTGACAAAATTGTTTGGTATTTTAAGAATACGGCCATTAAGTCTCTTTTCGTTGCTTTTTTATAATGTCAAACTTTGCGATTTCTTTTTATATTATATTTAGTTCCGTAATTTATCACTTACTATTTCGCGGAGTCATTTAATTGATATTCATTGCTCCTGCCAAAGCACTCCTGCACGCCGTTATCGGACCACAGCCTTTTCATAGCCGCCAGTAATTCTTCGCTAAAGGGTTCCGTATCTTCCATTCTTTGAATTACGTCGAACACCATTTTTGCATCCGTCTGAAAATATATAAAAATTATTTAAATACCAAATATTCCTATTCTCACACTATCAATATTACAGTGTGTATATTAATTAATATAACGTTTTTCGGAAATGCTTTTTTTGTATATGTGTTTGCAATTATGTAATTTGATTACTGATGCGTATAGATTACGTATTATATGTGAAGATAGTTGCTCATATATTAAAAAGAGATAATCAATGATTATTCATGCGAACTCAGTGCGAGTTCATCCTAGCGCGAGTGTCGGATCGCCTTGTACGATCACTTTAGACGGCTAATCAACCACGGTAGCACGATGTGATTCGCCGTTGAATACTTCATTCATTAGATAACCGTTGACGTGCATTAAACCACATTCTGGATTCCGCACGTTGTACCTCGCATTAAAATAGTCGATATGCAGTATTTAAATAACATGCGAGATATTTGCCGACCGATATGCCATTACTGAAAAGCTTCCATAATTTTACAGTTGGCATTTCATTGTAATTAAATCAGTGACACGTACGGGAACATGCTTCGAGTATGAATAAGCAATATAAAACTGTCACATTTAATATAAATTAGAAACAGAACATAAATCATTTATAATTAATATATCCGTATAGTTTCGCATGTTATTCTTCTCTTGAAAGATCGAAAAATCTTCTAAAGTTATAAAATTGCAAAAAGTAAAACAATATATTTTCGCAAAACAAGACGTGAACTTATGATGCCACGTCTAATAACAATTTTAAATTTGCACTTTGATCTGTTTCTTTGCAACCCCGTATTATTTCTTAAACATGTAAAAAAAATATTTTTTTCAATGTATATTACCTCTCGTTCATTTGTTGAAAAACTGATGCCTAGATTAGGCATTGCTCTAAGAATAGCGACTAGAGATTGTATCGTGTTACTGTACACGACAGGTCTGTACTGCTTGAAGTCTTCTGGTGTGAAACCGCTCTCATGGATAATTCTGAAAAGAAAATTGTACGTGTGTTCAGCATTCACGAGCAAGAACATCAAACACATGAAATATCTTTTTTCTGTAAATATTAGGATAGAAATAGATAGTTTTTAAAAAGCGCGATGTTTATTGTAAAAATATAAACAGCCTGTACTTAAAACAATAAATAATTTTCAGAAAACAAAATATCGTATACCGAAAGTTGATACACTTGTACTATTGGACGTTGAATAAATAGTAAACATGTTTAGATTTATTTCGAGTCCCTCGTCTATTTCTTTTTTTTTTCCAAGAATTTGTAATTACTTGCAAATATATACACGCATATATATATATATATATATTTATATACATATATATGTACACACATATCGAGCGTGCAACGAATTAATGCACGCCACGTAAGTGCATGATGTGTAAATGCACATATGAATTGCAATGTGTGCTGTACTCTATGACTTACATGAGTGCCCATACATATCGTAACAATACTCAGAGTCAACATAGGTGAGTTGTAGATGCGGTGTAGATCTATATATATAAGTGAAAACATGGAACGATGTTGCGTGGAATAGATTTATGTTGGCATATCTGTACGATTTAGTGTACCTTCCTGCATAAACGTATGTTTCTGTTCTCAATATATAATTTTAGAGCAAATATTTATAAATTTACCTCCCATCTCTCTCACTTTCTTTCTCTTCGTAAAAATATATTTATACATATATTTATAGTATAAGAAAAAATATTAAAATTTTTTCCTCAAAAATAAATTATTATTTTAACGTTAATCAATGTAATATTACATGTATGAGTATTTTTACAATTAAGTAATTACACAGAACACGTGTGTATTTGTATGACATTTTATAAATTACAATATTCATCACTGTGTCACAGATCACATGCCTTTGTCGCGACATTTAATAGCACATATTAATCTTGCACAACAAGGAATATTATATTACCTATTACGTTAAGGTAGTTATTGAGCCTCAGTGGAGCTCATCCACTTGTACTTGTGGCGTACCAACAAGTAAGTGTAGAAAGTAAAGAAAAAATTGAGCACCACTGACACGCACACACAGAGTTCAGCATATATGTGTACATATACACATGTATAAACTTATCATCGTGAACATTTGTTTATAGTGTAGTATAGGTTATGATTTGTATTACTTAAAAAATAGTTAAATATTTATTTATGAATCATGAGTGAACAGTATCGAGAAAAAATGGTAGATTTGCAGTTGAAAAAACAATAAAGAAAAGAAAAATTTTCACTTACTTATATTTTACAAAACTTTGTCGTCTGCTAAATTTAAAAAATGAGCAACTTCTTATTCGAATTAATATTAAACAAAACCGTTGACACACTTGAAACAAACACAATAGATCCGTAATAAAATTATCTGTATGCTCCTAGTTTTTTAGAAGGATTGTAAATACAGTTTATTATCTAACATTGAAAACGTTACCCGCTAGAGGCTCAAGGATAGGCTTTGTGTGTTAAAAAGCTGAACTTCAAAGCCTTATATCTTTTTTTTGGTACGGCTGAGCTTTTTGAGATTGAACAATATGATAGATTGCTTACTTAAAAATGTATATTCCAAATATGAATAAGATTGTAAATAGACTGAAAATCTCAATAACTACCTTAATAAATGGCACAGAGAGAAACATGTAGCAACGTTCGTCGTTTTTTGAGAATAACGATATTAAACAACAGCATAAAGAACGCTGCCACATACGCACGCACACATCTCGTCAGGTTTATGGCCATTTGCACGCGAAGAAAAACCAGGTATAAGAGTGTGCATAAAATAACGCTTAGCTTATACTTCAGTTTCAGATATCTCTACTTAGGTATTGTAAATTATGCAGTTGGAATACAGAGAAGATGCAGTACGTGTAAGCTTTTGCTCCGAATATGTTTTTTACACAAATAAATACGCATCAATATTTAAATTAATTCTCTGTATTGTTGTTTTTTTACAAAATTGTCAATGTGTTGTATATTCATCGTAAAAATTCGAAGAAACTCTCTCAACTACTTGTCCGAAATTTTTCGACGCTCTTTATATTTAACACCGCCCACGAGATATCGAGATCTCTGGTTAATATCTATCACGACTGTCCGCAAACTGTCAAAGAGAAAATATTCAGAATCAGTGTAAAAATATGTAAAGCACTTTGATAATATCGGAAATGCGGCGAGCATTCCTATTCACGACTGACAGCTCTCTTCTCGTCGAGAGAAGGCGTACATAGCGGTAACTTTGTTGGTGGGACCCCTTGAACAGGGCCCATTCATAGCAAACACAGGAAGAGAGACTCCCTACAGAGGGAATATGTTAATGTATACGAAAGTGAGTGAGAAAGAGAGAGAAGAGCACGAGCGCTAACATCTCGAATGAGCGCACGTATCACGGAACAGCTGCTGTTCTCATATACATGCAAGAGCGTATCGTCATAGTACGAGTATCGATCTCGTGGCGAGGCGAGGCAACAGTTTGCCTCGAAATAATGCCGATGCACGAACGCGAAAAGATTAATCTATTTGCACGTGCGAAAGATGGACATGCGCTATTATCCGCTGCTATTCCGCAGCTATACTTCTACAGCTCGCGACACAACAGTGTGATACATAACAAGATTAGTTTATTTTCGCATTTGCAAACAAGGTTTGTCGAGAAAAAACATAAAGTGTAATTGCTGAATTTGGAGTGTAGAAAAATTTATCGATTCAGCCGAAGATTTCGGAAGGAAGCGTGAGAAAGTATTTTTCATGTGTGATCGTCCGGCAGCTGACTGATGAGTTCGCAAATTAGTATTTCCGCGACGTCGCGGAACATCAAAGAACGTTTAAAAGCTTTGCGAATACTGCATTGTATACCATTGTATACACGTTCTATTCTTGTCACGTTCTTTGCGCGGTCTCACTTTCCGGTGGAAGAGCCGTTAAATCTTCGGTTGAGAAATTTGTCTAATTACTCATGCGCGTAACAAAGCTCGACGAATCATCTTCACTGTGCGTAATAATGATTCCAGATCAATTTCAGTGCTCGCGTATTTTATGCAATCTCGTTGCTTGTATTTTTTCGACGGCTTCATTATAGTTATCGAAAGCTTTCTCAACAATACAACAAACAAACGAAATTTAGAAAATCTGTTGCGTAATTAACGCGGATTTAATTAAGAATATAAAAGTAATCGAGAACAGTCAATGTGCGTTAACGAATAAACAACGCACATGGATGTAATCTCCCTTCAATAATAAAATCCCCCTTTTAAAATGATAATTGGTGCATGTAGTGCGAAGCGCGAACTAAAGGCGATTATACTTACTTCATTTGTTTCACGATCGTACTCTTGCCGGATTCGCCCGCTCCTGGAAACAGAAAGAGAAAGGCATTAATTGAGAGCAATCAATCTTCCTCGATTGCGTATCGCCAAATTACGTTGCAAAATGAACTTTGCGCGATACACAAAGAAAATATAAAGCTCTTCTCGCTCTTTGTTTAACTTCTGTTTGATTCACGTTTGCAGAATTATTTGCAAAACTTATTATTTAAATAATTTATATGTGCACACACATTTACTGCGTAATACACGCAGAAGTGAGAGATACTTGGCATGGGAGCATTGTAATTTTATTTTATTAACAACTTGAGAAAAGATAAATTGGCGCAATCTCTTGACAAAAATTCGGATCGATGAACGAAAACTCGTCGCGTTATCAAAATATGTCTCTATATATAACCGAATATATCGACGGAACTCGTTTTCCTGCTTGCGGCACACAAGCCACCCTTTCCACTTTTAAAAGCACTTCCACCGCAAGTAGCCGTCTATAATAGCTACTCACGTTTAGAGTCGTTTAGTATCGACTAGATACACGTGGGATCTTCTCGACTAAGCGGTTCTATATAGATAATGACCAGAAAGAAAGGAGTCATCTCGAGACATCGATGATGATCCTCGTCGCGCTCTCGTCGAGGTAAAACACCGAATAGAACTGAACGAGTCGCAAATTTGTTTAAAGCTCATCGAAAGATCATCACGGTTTCTTCGTTTAAAATTTTCGGAATCCTCGCTATCATACAAAACAGTCACGTTTATTACATTGTTAATTCGAGGAGAATCTCAGAGGAACTATGATCGATCTCGTTTGTTTTCACAACCAAACTTGCAGAACGGAATTTATAATGCGTACATATCGTTATTTCCTGCAGCTGTCTCGCTCGCATTTTTGTTCACCTGCTATTCGAGAGAAAATCACACTTTGTAAAGGCGCTTTTATCATATGTGCGATAAATATAGAACAAAGATAATTCAGATAAATTTTGAAGTGCTTGAAAGAGAAGATACGTTTGCATTTCAGTGACGTCACATATATTATATGCATGCGCACACATGTTATACATATTGGTCTCGCGCGAGAAACTGCAAAATTTCGTAATTATAAATGTACGGAGATTTTATTATTATAACGCAGAAACGATTTAAAAGAGTCAAATTTATTCTCTCTTTTTTTTAATGGGCACTTTTAACGCTCTATGTACTGACAAATTACATACCGTGACAAAGAAGGCGCTTACAATGTTGTTGACATTTAAAGATACATAAGTCTATGTCGCCTTGAAATACGCAACGACGTGCGTTCGTATTTTGCAGCCACCATTAATCGGATGAAAATACTCGCAGCCAATTTGCGCACATACATACACGCACCCACGTTCTACCCAATGACGTCACTGGTTACACCAATAAACAGGACCCACATTTCGCTGGAAAACGTATTCTCTACATGCTTGATATGCGTTTCGCGCTAACGCAGATTTTTAAGAAACATTGAGTATCTCCGGAAGGCAAACATCGTTAAAAGTGAAGACCTTTACTTGGTTCATGTGATACAATAAAAGAAGAAAAAAACCTTTTATTTTCCATCTAAATATCCATAAGTGTATTTTAAGTTTTTCAATGAGATATTAAATTACGTTGTTTTAACAATATTTGATATTGAAAAGTTACAAACACGTGTGACATAAAAATACGTATAAATCAAAGAAGAGTTGAATTTTAGCGCGAGATCAATTTTTATTTAGACATCAGATGTATTGTGCGCGCCGCGGAAAACAAGAAAAAGTAAGTTGAAAATGTGCAAACTAATTAATACAGACGGAGACAATAGGCCGATGTACATATTATCCGCCGCCTCCGCGAATGATTTTGCTTTTAATTATAGCACACAAAGCCGACGAAGAATTTTTTATTAAGACTTTGATTAAATTAGAAGCGCACGAGACCATCTATTAAATGTAATTAAAACAATATAAAACTAGCGCGGTAAAAAATAGAATTTATCAAAATCTTTATCATGTGATTCATTTATAATTATACGGTAAGTAAGTCATGAATGAGTCTCAAGTTCAACCAGTACCACGTTGCAAGTTATGCAATACTGTTTTGTGAAACGACTCACCAGACATATGATTCATTACAAGAATTTATTAATGTGTAATAATCAAGGAATCGTTAATCGATTTAAGATGTAGAAAACGTCATGATTCGACGGTGTGAATATAAATTGCGATGACACTACATTACAAAATTATCCTCGTGTTTTTTTGTCGTGATCTGAAAAAATCTAGCTATAAACTTGTCAACTGAAAATTTCATAGCTCTCAGCCCAGGTCGAGGAACACCGACACGTGGCAACAATATGTGCTCTGACAGACATAAGGTCGAATGTCAGATTTCTTGATATATCTGTGTCTGAATTTTCTAACACACGTTTTAAAAATTAGGAACAAAAAAAAAAGAATATCTGAATAATTTTTTACGGCTCTTTTTCGGTGAATAAAGTATTTTTGGCGTGCGAGATTTGCACATCTCTCCGAAATGTTCTTTTAAGTTTTAAGCAAAAAGTGTCAATTGTTTTGCTTTTCGAAACTTGCGATCACGAATAATTAAGATGCTATTCGCATTACTGCTCGTATTTTGCAGCACTGATGTTACCGATGAAACATCGATGTCAGATGATATCTGTGATGTTGACGATGGCAATTATGCGCTTCGAAGCGTTCCGGCGTTCCGGATTGAAAGAACTGACGTTGGATGAACGATCGGGCATTACCCTTCCGCAATAAGGAGGAACACGCTTGTTGCGCCATTCTTCCGGTTTTACGTCGCGTCTAATTTCCTGCATGCTCATCAATTTAAAAAGCCGGCTCTATCCGCGAGAACGTTAAAAACAGGCGCGTGCGGCCGCCAAAAATGAATCGTCTTTTGAATCTTTCTGAGAGACAAAGTGCGTGATCTAGTTCAGAAAAAAAAATTTATGTTTTTAAAACATTAACCTCCCCTTTTTGACAATTGCATCGTTACGTCAAACGGAATGGCTAAATTGCAATTTTGTCGACACATATATATAACAAAAACGACTTTGATATAATTAGTCTACGATTTGGCACATATTTAGAAAGTTAGGCAGATCAATAAAGACTGCGCACGATGCGCAACTCCTCACCAATCATAGATCCGCCATAGCTCATGAAATATCTACCGCGAAAGAGAGAAGCGACGGTGTAGATACAACCACGTTACCGATATAACCGGTGGTCGGGTAGCCAAGTTGCATTGAATTATTTCCGCGAGATAATGTCGCGGCAATATTTACACGACACAGAAAAGTCCGTTTTACATTATTTTTAACTTCCAGAGCAATTTCTTTCGATCGAGACTGTATAATTTTTCTTCAATGAAGTGTGTATGATTTACACGACATTTTCTACAGTCAAGCTAATTTCCCGAAATCGCTGAAAACATGAATTATCCAGGTATTCAACCCTCCTGTCCATTATTTTACATACATATAATAATATTACTTTTGCCACGCACGTCTTTATTCACTTCAGGAATTGAAGTAACGTAATAACTCGGTATCTTTGTTTTCACTTACCAAGCAGCAGGAGCTTGATGTCCTTGGCCGCTTGGATACCATCCTCCTTGAGATTCTTTTCGATCTGCTTGCTGCGAGCCAGAGCGGCCCGCTCTTCCGCGGACATAGCACAGCCCATCTTGCTGCACGTTGCTTTCACAAATGCCACCCTCACGAACTTTCTTCCTCACCTGCTGCTAAACCGCGCGGCCACGTAGTGGCCCCGTCGCCACGAAGAGAGTGAGACGATTTCTTGTCTCGTCGTCTCCTGACAACTCTGTCTCCTACTCTTTCTCGTCTCCTTACTGTCGTCCACTTTGTCGCACTTGGCACTTGTCACCGTCGCCGCCAACAACACGGCAGTAGTAGCCACCACAAGAGTGATTAATAAACACCGTAAAAAACATCCACCACAATTCTTTGAGCGCTAACACCACTGACACCTGCTTCTCCGGCACCGTCTTCTTCTCCTCCGCCGCCGCCTCCTCCTCCTCCTCCGCCACCACCGCCGTCGTCGTCCTCTTCTTCGTCTTCGTCTTCGTCTTCGTTTTCGTCGATGGCAACCGGCTTACTATTGGTAACCGGCACCGAGTGGTCCCCTAACTATCTGGGCGACCGCAGCCACCCGAACGCGGTCCTAGTCACCGCCACACTTGCGCCGATTTAGCCGCGCGATTCAACTGCGCCTGCAAGCAAAAAAACAGACATGTGACAAGTCTCGCGACATCAATAAATATAATATATAGTATACTGCTAAGTTACATGTCTTGCAAAAAATCTGTCATCATCATCACTAACGTGTTACAATAATCGATTACGTGTAAAGCAATAGTCTCCGAATTAGATCACCGATATCGACGTTGTTTAACCAGTTCTTGCCTCATTGAACGCGCACACCGAGTATAAAGACGAGACTCGTTTTCGTTCTTCTCAACGATGAGTATACGACCTCGACTTGGCAGATTGCCAGCGTTTGATACGCCGAAAGGTTCTCGACCAATCGTCGCTGATAACGTTCCTTCTTCTCGTCTCGTGTTATTATTATTCCTCGGCGCGGAACAAGATAATAGTTTCATTAGCTCGGCGCATCGAAATCACTCAATGCGATTTAAGATCAAGCGTATATAAAACTCCGCGGTCTAATATCATTAACTTCACGAGAGTTTTTGCAAATACATTTTTCTCACAAATAATCAGTAGATAAAATTATTCTTAGCTCGGACATTATAGTGGAATAGGTTTACGTTTAAGCAGCCTACATAATTCAAGTGCAACTCAAAAACGTAGATATACGATGGCGTAGAAAGACGATGGAACAGGAATCGAATTATGAGTTTTGATGAGTTATTTAAGAAAACTCAATCATTTCGAGAAGTTTCGCTCTCATTGCTTCCCTAGTTATGGAAGAACAAACTCAACTTAAACGAGTTTTATGAGAAGATAGCAGTGCTAAATTAGATTTTAAATTTAAAATCGCAATTACAATCTACATTTGACAATTTTATTAAAACAAATTAAAGTTGGAGATATCAAAATGTTTATCTTTCTCTTGTATGTAAAATTTTATTGCTGACATCTCTTGATACTATTGGGTCAAGTATGAAACTTGACAAAATATATACATATACATGTATATATGTTATATGAAATATATATGTATATATATTCGTCAAGTTTCATACTTAATGATCTAATATGTGTATAGTTTTATTTTACAGCATTAGTTAATATCGTTAAAAAACTCTGTTTACGTGTGGAGAAGCTCACGTTCGAGAATTGTTATTTCGTCACATGGCCCGGACATTCTTAACAAGGTATCTTATCGCATCCGATACCGAGCGTTCGTGTCAGAGGTAGGTATCAGTTTTCATGTCTCTCCAAGTTTTAACAGGAAATAACGCTATGTATTGGCTTTTCGCCAATTCTGGAACACCCGGTATGTACAACATCGAGAATCGAACTTGTCGAAATGTCTTCGCTCACTGAATTTTTAACTAAACGGAAATCCACGCGCGACGGAATGTTTCGTAGTTTATTCATTTGTCGAGTTTTTTTTTGCAACATACATCTTCGTAAGCACGACATTACGTGGAAACACACCGGCGTACGATCAATAAAATGCAACGACCTGATATAATGGAAGCGATACGCGTCGCGCTTCATAAAATACCATCGCCGACATAGTAAGACTAAACTAACGTTAAAGAGACGTACAACGCGCGAAAAAAACCGATCGGGATTCGACCGAGCATAGATTTTTTTTTTTTACGATTTAACAAGTTCTCCTCGTCAGGGTTTCATTTTCAATCTCTCCGTCTGTGTTTCTTCTATTCTCTCGCGAAATCAATGTGCCACACGAGAAAACTTCTTCCAAGATGCGATGCAAACCCTTGCGATGAACAAAGTTGTTTCTTAATTATATTATGTGGAATGTATTACATGTTTTATTCGAGATATCGAACGATGGGTCTAAAATAAAAAAAAGTAACAATTATGATTCGACGATTACGAGTATTACTTTATTACATAAAAAATAACTAACTTGCCAACTTTGAATATGCAAGATAATCTATAATTAATAAAAAAAGCAATGAAGTACCATAAAATCATTTTCATACAATAAATACATGTCCATTGTATGATTAGCGCACGCACAGACGTTTTTTTATTATGCTCCGACTATTTATCTTTTCCTGACTTTTCTTGATTGTTTTCTATCCTGCTTTTGCACTATATTTCTCCCGCACTGCTTGGATACATATTATTGTTTCCCGTATCTGGACAATTTAACGTAACGCTGATATGACTCATAAAAGCTTCTATTGATTAATAGCGACGCAGTGTGCGCGCCAGATTGCGTTTGAAATTTGAAGACTGTAAAAAATGCGCGACCAGACGTTGTTTTACACGCCTAATCTCGTATTCGCGTCAAAAGATTATAAAGCACATTTTACGATGATTGTTTGTTGTGTTTATCGAGAAATTTTATATTCCCATTTTATATTCCAGAGACTGAAATATCTCTCCGTGACTTTGACGAAAACACGTTGACCCACGTGTATCGCATGTATAATGCAGATTTATAAGCCAATATATCGCGCATATGTGACTGTCAATAAATTTAAGTGAAAAAGTTTGACACAATTGTATAAACAAACTGGTTGAACTGATCACTCTCATTTTTTATACGCAATTTTCTCCAATACTTTTTATAGATAACAAAACAATATAAAATTGAACAATAAAATTGAAATATACAACATACAAACAATATAATTATTATAATAGTCAATAATCTTTGATTTTTGAATTTTCAAGAGCTTAAGTGTTACCTGAAAAAAAAAAAATCGGAATTACAACAAATTTGATGAGAAGCGCGAGATAAATAATGTGCAATAAAGCCACGCATAAATCGCTCTCAATTAATACAACAGCTGTGTTCTCTCTTTCTTACTGAACTCTTATCATAGGACGATTACACTTTAGTACTTCTTGTCACTTCCTTCATCGGAAACAGAACCGTAACAGTACGAGTGACTCGAGCGGCATACAGCGACCGCGCGTACTCCAAGAGAACCCCCGCCCTCCCTGTTTCTCACTCACTCACTCACTCACTCACTCACTCACATACACACACACACTCTCTCTCTCTCTCTCTTCTCACCCCTACCCCTTTCTCTCTTTTCCTCTCACGGAGCAGCTCGCGGCCAGGGGTAGCTCTTGACGGTGTTACACACAAGCGAGTGTTCTCCCCAGCGCAATCTGTCGATACGAATTGAACGTATACGCACCTCGTTCGCCTATCCTGGATGACGTCGGGATTATCTTGCCGTCGTCCTGCGGTTTCTTTTTCTCCGTCACGAACTCCGTTTGTCTCTCTCACCCTCGGGGTCTTCCTCTGAGTAGTTTTTTCTTTTCACGCCAATTTGTGCTTATTTGATCGATATTTCGGGAAAACGGTTTCCGGCAGAAACCGAAACGGTCGAGGATTTTCACTCTCTCGACCGAAATCTCCGGAAAGAGGAACAATAAGGCGAGGCAAACTTGCGTGCGAGGAAACTCGTGTGTCCCCGGTAGCAATAGCGGCAGCAACAGCGATGACAGCAGCACACACGGCGGGCGAGAGCGAGCGATCGAGCGAGCGACCTAATGAGGGAGCGTGCGTGCGCGCTAACGATAGATATGGTTCGTTATCGCGTCTCTCGCTCTCCGGCGGCTGCTCTCTTTCTAGCGGTTTTACGTCTGTCCGCTCGTTCTTTTTCTCTCTCGTTTTTTTCTAACGTAGATTCGACCGATTTCAGTCGAAAGTGCGCCGGGTGATCGTAGAGATACGATGTCGCCGTCAACCGTAACGTGAAACAATCGCGAAGGACTGGAAAGCGACGATCAGAGATGACACGGATGACTCCGAGAGCTGTGACAGGTCCTTTTTGGCGGCGGCCGGCAATTTGTCTCCGCACGATCACGGGAAAGTTCGCGCGACGCGACTCGTCTGTCTCCTTCGTGCGAAAATGAACGCGCGAGGGAGAACAGAAGGCTCCGCGCCGTGCTCTCCGAGATCGAGTGACTATCGTGTCGAAGGACCTCGCTCGCGCGTTATTCCGGAATATCGAGGGGGGGATTACGCGGCCCGGGAGCTGTGCTCCGCAAAAATCACTCTCTCTCTTAACAGCGGCGGCGAGCTGGACGCGTACTGGCGACGGAGTCTGCCGACGACCGGAGCGACCTCTCGCCCCGCCCGATGCTTGCCGCCGTCACCACCACCTCCGCTACTCGCGCCGCCGTCGTCGTCGTCGTCGCCGTGCGTTGCAACGTGATGCCGCCGCCGTCGCCGCCAGGAGAAGGACGTCAATCGATCCCGAGGACCGGCCGGTCCGCAACGCTCCTTGTCTCTCGTCATTTCGAGAAACGAACTCCGTTTAAGTCGACGCGCGATAAAAGTGTCCGCCTGGCGGCATCTAACGGCGCGAAATTCGAGATCGGGGATTCTTGATTAGGAAGTAGATTATTGTCATAAACGAATTATGTGTATATTTGTCTTGTGTAAATACATATGTACATATGTATTTTTTTATACAATTTTTTAAAACATATTCTATGTAGATACATAACAATTTTTATTTTGTTAATAATTTCGAAATAATATATTTGAAATTACTGAATATACATATGTTGTATTACAGAAAAACAAAGAAATTAAACTTACCTTGATGCTACTTGCGTGTCCCACGAGGAGAATCGATCTTCAGGAAATTTTTCACACGCTGGCAATATATTATAGCGTTTCATATATAAAATTATCATATCCTAAAAGTCATACTTGAAGCCAAACGACGCAATGATTTATGCTTGCACAAGTAAGGGAATACAGCTTGCTTTATTGCCGACATTATAACTTAATTGCTGATAATTAAGCTGATAAATATAGTACTGAATAGTTGTAGATCAAAAATGCTGTTTACACAATAAAATCTTACGACACTTGACAGATTCATGCTCCGCGCGCGCATACACAACATATGATTCTCCCGATTCCAGAATCCTCTACTAAATCTATCTGCTTGGTTTGTTCTTAATTATGCATCGTGAAGCGGGAATAAAATCCTCGTCAAATCCTCACAAGTAGGTAAAACAAATGATAATCTCCATTAATTCGCAATTTCTAATATATCGCTTAAATAAAAGAACGCCAAGTATGGCGGCTTCGGTTTATTCAATTATTAGAAGTTGTAAATTAGACTCTCACATGTTTATATCGTCTTGTCAAATCTTTCGATCTCATTAAAAAAGCATCATTCCCGTCCGTCAAGTTGCTCGCGCGTTTTTTTTTTTTTAAATAGTTTTTACTTATTTACATATATACCTGATATATGTTACAACGAATTTCTTAAAATGTCAAAAGCGTTCTCGTGTGTAATCGGAATCGAAAGCTCATAAAGATATACTTTTTTACGCCTCAAAGTTCGTCACGCAATTGCCGATATAAAATTCATCCTTGAAGAAAAATGATAGACGTGTGCGTATTTAAAAAACAAGAATTACAACAGCCTTGATCATTGTTATATGCTGTATTTCCAGAATAACGTCGTACGTTGATTTTATATTATATTCTAGTTTTATCTCGTTTCCGTTTTATTATACAAATAGTATTGCTAAAAACATGTTAACAGTATGAACAGTATGAACTTTCGATTTGGTTTTATTGATAGACAGGATGTTCCGCTCCCGAATCATTCTGTACACATGGACTCCTCTACGTGAAGACTTATATAGCGACGATAGTTGTTAGTGTTTCTAATATAATATAGCATGTCAACGATTTTGTTTTTCTTATTATACGACGCCACAGCTCATTTAATATAACTATATGATACACACGTATAAAAATAACGTTTCTATTGTTAAAATATATTTCAACATATATATACTCAGAAGTAACTAATTCAATAGGGCCACTGTGTTCGTCCTCTAAACTTGGACACGAGTTTCGTACATAAACCACATCAATCGTATCTCGTTATATCAAAAAACATAATATAGATTAGATGTATATATACATATATGTTATGCTGTATGCTGCATATCCACGTGCACGCGCGCTCGTACGCACGGAGACGACTGTCACACAAGACGTGTGTGTGTGAAAAAATATACGACACCTATCCCGTTCATATCTTGTATAAAAGTCTTGCAGAAAAAAAAATGAATAAAACACTTATAACTCGTCCCCAGGCAAACAACTAGAACTTGTAATTGTATGACAAAGAAAAAATAAAGTTTGTTTTTCTTATACTTACGTAATACTCTTATGGAACTCTCTAATATAATTTATTGACGGGCAATGTGCACGCGCGCACGTATGATTGCATTAAAGTGCTTGTAGTCCTTCCGTAAAGATGTGAAAGATAAAAGCGAAGAGAAGTGTGTTGTTTCCTTATTTTACGTCAACTGTCGTAATATAACTATATTTTGTGCACGAATCGCTTGAGTGGCAAAACCTCGAGAAAATATCTTGAGTGAACATTTATATTACTTTTCGAAGATCAACGTGGTTGGTGCATTATCTACACGTACATGTGCATCATCCTCTTATTACGAACGAATAAATGTCACTCCTTCCGGCTCGTCGCAGTATGTGATACGGGAATATATACCTGCACTGTCTCTCCGGACACGCGCTAGGCTGACGATTTTTCGGAGAAGAAACGAAAAAACGGTGTTCATATCATGCGGTGTTCGCGCGTGAGCTTTAATCGAACGAGAATGAAAATAAAGTTTTATTAGATAGGCACATATATATATCTGTATATATTACAATGTATCTTTATTACCTAAAATATGCATTTTGAAAGTATTTTTTCGAAAGACTTAGAAGGCAGGCAAGGGGCAAAACGACATTCGGGAGCCAACGATTGGAAGGGCGCAAACAAAAACAAAATGTCCTGTGTTTAAGAACATCGACAATCTACTGAGCACATTTCGATGATTCGGCTAAACCCTTGTCCAGACGTAGTCGATTGAGTCGATGAATAGATTTTCAATACAAAAATGAGCAGGTTGTCAATTGCCGCCGGTCACAAACGACAAAACCTAACAAATCTTTGAACAACAATGACAATTATCTCCAAAATAAATTTCAATAGCCTGTACAATAATTCGTAGATGAATTTACACAAAGATATACTGGCGGTATTAATCGCGATAACAACACATGCGCGACGAAACAAAATGACTTATAAACCATTTTTTGGCCAAATCATTGCTGTACTCGCACACATACTCGTATTATAGCTCTATCTATAGTACACAAAAAACAATAACACTAAAACTTATTTATATAATTCCAGTAATTCTATTTTAATCGATATAATTATTTGTATATATATATATAGAGTAAATTATTGTATTTAAACGCACGCTTACGCCTCTAGCTGCATTTTCTTATTTTGTGTTTCTTTTTCTTTAATAATATATAATATAATAATATACTATGTCGCATATAAAAAACAATTAGTATAGAATTACAAGATCGTTCCTTAGTTAAGTTTACAGATTTTTGTTTTTTTTTTCGCAACTATTTATATAAACGTAAGACGTCGCGTCCATCTCTAAAATAAACATGCTCTCTTCCGCCGCTCCCAGAAGAATTAGAAAAATTAAGAGATATCGTACCAATTTGTCTCAACAAACATAAAGAGGAGACAATAGATTTTCAACGTTAAGGCTTGGCTATTCGTTGCCGCGTAGCTTCATATTTTAGTTTTTTCTTACAAAAAGTTAATATTATCGTGATCTTCAGAAGTTTATAGTGAAAATACAATACAAAAATCGAGAAATTTAAGAAATGACAACGGATTTTTAATTGCCAACTGTATGAGAAACAACAACACCTCTCTATTTCAAGAATTACTTTAACTTCTGCGTGACAAATAGAATAGATTATCAAAGTGTGTTGCATATTTTACGTTTTAGGATTACAAAAATATTTATATTTTTAAGAAAAAACTAAAATATAAAGTATTATGTTGCAAAAATCAATTATCATGTCATTTTTCATTTCTGACTACGTCATAAATGAAACGGTTGCTACGAGTAGCAGGACCTTTAAGTGTATATAATTTAATTTGTTAATTTATGTGAATGTGGAAGATAAATCCGACTCATGTGATGAATTTTTCCGAAGCGAACGAAATATAAATGTGCCACAACACATTGCTTATTAGTTCCTCCACAATACTCGCAACAAAATTTTTTATATTATGTTTGATCGATTTTTTTATAGCTGAATTACATTTATTGTTAGATACAACTCGCAATTGATTTAAATGCACTTGATTAATGCGTCATTCTTGTGCGTCGTTAAGTATACAAGTTTCTTCTTTTCGTACAATCTCCTCTTGTACGATAAAAATTTTTACAAAACATTACATAGCAAAAACACAAATATGATTTTATATATTTTATTTATCATTAATAACATAATCTCACATTGTCGTGTAGAATTGCACAATACTTGCTTATGTTAACGATGCACAAGAGTTATCGCAATTATATAAATACATAATATATTCACGGCACTGTTATAACTGCCGTTTGTACGTCCTGATAACGCAAAAAAATGTCCGAGTTGAACGTTCGCAAAAAATGAAGATAAGTCGACGTCGGATATAAAAACCAAAAAAGGGTAAAAAGAGAAGAAAAAAATTAAGTGATACAGAAAACAATATAGTCACAACAAGTCAAAAATGTAGGTCGGTCGCGATTTGTACGCGATTAACCGCCGGGAACGGGGATCAGTACAGTGAACTGCCTTTTCTCGCTCTTGGTCAGCGTCGTAGTAAATCCAAAGTGACAATCCACCTGATTTAAGCTAAAAACTCATGAGATGTCATTTTGGTTGGCAGGTCTGAGCGTTCACTTTGTATGTTCGTATCTGTGGTGTGAGATCGAGCCAAGGCACCGACGAATTCGGCTGCTCTAGGTGAAGAGGCACGCGACATCGCGATGTTGATGCGTTAACAGAACAATCTGCTCCACGTTGCGCCTCCGTATCCTAAAAGATTCGTTCTCTAAGCGCCTTTTGCAAAAAGATTTTGCATGCGTTTGTCAGAACAAACAAGATGTGACGGTGAACAAAAAATAGTGACAATCAAATCACAGTGTTCTTGTGAAATCGAAACAATTTTCTGTAGTGCCACTTCCTACCTTAATTTTTCTTTGTATGGAGTTGTTTCCATACCTAGATAAAAAGGAAAATCCGCGTTATTTACCTAGAAGAGAGTTCACTCCTTAAACATTCTAGTTTTGTGTTTTTCAATCAACCTAAATTCATCGTCATATAAAATTTGCGTTATCTCTTTTATCTTCTCTCGTCGTGAACGAAGGCAAATTGACAAACGCGCACTTTCCGACAACTCAGCCGAGTTGTTTCGCGATCTTATTTGCGAGTGTAAATATAGATATTACTTACCATACTCGCGCTGGCAAAAGAGGCGGACGTGGCAGCAGAGGTAGGCACCGTCAATATTGAATAATATTATCTACTACTGCAAACCCGCAGGCCCCTAGACCATGAGTAGACATCAGATGAACCAGCTCTCTCGCGTGAGCTGCTGCAATTTCCAAAGGAGGGCGACGGCGTAGATTACAAGATCCTGTTGATCATAAATCGCGGTTATAGTGACAATAGAGATTCTTAACTGCGATGTTCGTTATATACACATCGTGAATAAAAAAAATCATTCTTACCAAGAATGGCAGAATTCAGCCTCTGACATACTGTTTCTCTTTGCTGAGGATCTAATTGCCAACCGACAGGCGAATTCCACGGATTGGAATATGCCAATAGGCTGAAGGCGTCCTGCAACATCTTCTTATTGCTTTCGTTTTTTCCGTACTGCTGTCTCAAGTGTATCGACTGTGAATACAATTGTTTACCAAACTCCAACACCTTCTCGATCCCTTGCTTATTACCACCACACATTTGTTTTTTATTACTTTTACTTGTCACAATGTCAGTGGTGTTACTACTTTGTTGCTGACTTTGATTGGCACTGTTGTCGATTTCTGCAAAAGACACCGTTTGCAGAAATACACACACTAAGAAGTTTTAATTTCCTTTAATCATTTTGCTCTCGTTGTTTCGATTTATTTAGTATCTTAGTGTAGTGCCACTTAATATCTAAGATAGTGTCTTGAATCATCAAATATAGAAAACTATTATAAGATCTTACCCATATCTACATCCTCTCCATTTTGACACTTGTATCCATTTGCGCTCAGATTACCGTTTGGGTATCCGGTATTGTTTTTAATACCGTTAACAGCATTGACGTTGCTGTCTTCCATGTCTACGTCATCTTCTATTTGTCCGTTAACGAACTGTGGACCGCTAGTACCATTCATTGTATTATTGATATTCATCTCCTCTACAGTTCCAGTTGCGGACTTCGTGTAAGCTTTGGTTGATTGTATGACACTGGTTTGATTGGGACTGCTGTTGTTCTGACAGACCTCTGTGTCGCTGCCGTTCACCATTTCCACAAATTGACGGCACTTGAGCGCGAACAGCAAATTCGGATCTCGCTCGAGAAGTCCAGGATATAATCGACTAGTCACATCTATTGCCTCACCTATCCGGCCGGATTGTATTAGCTTTATAATTCCTGTAAATTATAATAATTACAGCATACAACAATTTCACTACTTCAGTAAGCAGAGTTGTCCTTCTTTTAATAAAGATCTTTTTTGTATCAAACTTTGTTGTTTAAACTTTCCAAAAATAAAGTCGTAATAACTCGTCAAAATATTGAGATTTTCTCTTGGTGAGTCTGACCGTGTCACTTACTCTGTCGATTCTTCATAGAAGTGTAATCTTCATCGAATACTTGACCCGTGTTGCTGGCGAACAGTTCAGCAGTATCGAGATATCCATGATGAACGAGATATGTGCACACCATTCTGTTGAGTTTATACATATTATCTATTACTTTTGAGAAATATATATGATACATTGATACAGTGGCTCTTCCTCGCTAAATTTTCTTTGGTTTCGATTTATTTGCAAGCCTTCAGAAAGAACGCTTAATCATCTCAATGAAAAATAGGGTAATATCTGAAGCACGATTGATATTTGGTTTTTGTCAGGCGATGCTTACTTGTGAAGAATTGTCTGCCACTGTCCTGGACCGTAGTCCGGTGTAGGGTGACTTATGATTTGTAATCTTGTTCGTACGCGAAGTTCGTTGATCATGTCTCCAATGTCAAAAACAAACGGTAATTGCCCAAAATTTGCATCTACCACTTCGCCCGGAGTCTGCAGACCGACCGTAGGATATAGATTGGGCTGTAAAAGTAAATTTTAAACAGAATTTTAATCTACATTCTCTCTCAACCCACTTTTATATTAATATAATGAAAAAATTAACTTACAGGAAGGTCCGTGAATGCAATTCCTAGATGATGACCGTTTTTCGTGTAAAAGGCGGTGTTGTCAATAAGATTTACACCGCAACCAATAACGTCGCCTGTGGTAAAAGTCGGTCCATAAGGTTGTCCAGTACCACTTGAGCAAAAACTATGACCGTCATCACCGTGATAACCATAAGAATGCTTATCCCAACCAGGAAGTCTATTCACATTAACACCTGACGCTGAGAGTCCAATACCCATGTAGCCATCACGTCCTTTGCTGACAATTTTTACCTCGAAGTAATACAGGCCACACGCAGCTGGTATTGAATGTGTTGTGCGAACGCTGGCGGCGTCTTTGTGTGTTTTGCCGTAACCTGAAAAAATAATATGGGCCCGACTACCTTTATAGGAATCGGCAAATCCAATCGATGTGTATAACTAGTGTTAAAAAAATTGTACTAAAACTAAAAAATTTTTAAAAAATCTTATAAGCTCGAATTTACGATCGACATTGTCATGCAGCTCAGAAATGCAAGTATCATGTTCTTATACTATTAACAATAACATAAGAAAGTGTTCATCGATATATTGTACATCGTACGTTAGAACGTATATACAAAAACTTATTAAAAATGTTAATTATTAAAATTATTAAAAAATATTAATTAAACTTACAAGTTGTACATTTCAGAATATAGAATGATTTTAATTATTGTACAAGGTTGACTAAGGAAGCCGGTAAAATAAAGATAAGCGAGTCACCTTTGAGATACCGCTGTATGTCACAGAGAGACAATGCGAAATATTGATTCTGATGTATTATTACTATGTGATCTAGAGACTGAAGTCATTACAGCAAGAAATATGTAACTGATGTAACTCAGAGTTATATAATGTATTTTTTGTGCACATTGAGTGATAACGCACGTTTTAGGGAGGAACTTTGAGAACGTGAAATTTTCACAAGTGTTTCTTTGCGTAACAAAAACAAATTAACGTGAAATTGATATATTTAAAATATTCCTTGACGGTTGAAACCTAACGGTAGATGCATCATTGCGAGAAGAGCGGTAACATCCTCTATCAGACACTCCTAGCTTGATCCGGGGAAAACCACGTGCATTCTTGCGTCCAACTGCGATTCATAAACAGATGCATCTCTGTTCGTGAATTTTGACTACAGATGCAAAATTCGAGACAAAGTCGATTCCTATATAAAAACATCAAGTCGAAAAATTAAAAGCAAATCGAATACAAGTTTTCCCGTTCTCGATGTGAAACACTAGCTGCTGAAATATTTACTGAAAGTCGTCAGAACAATCTGGAAGAAAAATTGTACGTATTCGTGAAACAGAGACAACGATCGAAGTTAAATTAAAGGATTTGCCCGCGACGGATATTATCGACGCGCAGTATGGCTAGGGTCTCGGAGTGTGTTACGCGTGCATTATGCTTCATCATGTCTGCCACGTATCGTGCCATCTTCACGCTTTCCATTCATAATAATCACTATTTTAATAATCATTACAAGAGAGAGAGAGGATTAATTAATGAGTATTTATCGAGCACAATATTAAAAACTGTCCGAAAATATGAATTATTTATATTCCAACATTTCGCAAACACACCCGCCAATTATTTACAATGTGTAATATAATAATAATAAGCGTCTTTAAAAGATAGCAATTTTGGTCGGTGATATTATACTTCACTTTGACATTTATCATCACGAAGCAAATATGAGGAGCCTTATCTCTTTAACTTCGCTTTCTTTCAATATCGTTCGTGTTTATTTAGAAAATATCTTTGTTTACCAGTGCGTACTTTACCATTGTCGACAAAATGCCTGACCGAGAACTTAATACAACGCGTATGTTTACGGCATAATTGTTCTCGTTCTGTACATGCGCTTAGAAAAAAGACAAATGCGTAACTCAGTAATGTTGCAAATGAAGTCATTTAGTGTACGTACGATATTGCGACTGTGTTGTGCAACAAGTAATAAAAAGTACAGGAATATATATGACACGTAAGAAATATAGAAGACAAAGAAAAAAATAAAATTCGCAGTGAAGAAATCTGTTGAAGTAGTATAATATTAAAAAAAAAAAACTCTTGTTACAACAGAGTTCCTAAGAGTTAAGAAAAAGAAAAAGATAGACACATATATCTCTTATTTAAAAAAAAAACTAAGTACAGGAAAAAGTAACTAGTAACTACAGGATTATATTCTATTATATAAATAAAATAAAGATTCCAGACAGCGAAGACAAATTAATAGTAAATGAAAATTCGAGGCGAAGATTCGATCATCTTTCGATCGAGAAAACATCGAACGGCAGTTTGACGCACGAGGTCTGGTCCACGTTCGAGCAACGCAGCTGTCATTGACATTGTACGTGTCTGTATTGTGCGCTCCTTGTCTGTACGTCTTCGTCTTGTTCTCTCTTTCTTTCGAGGTTTTTTTTCTCTATCAAACGCTTTCCTGCGGAGATCGACAGGCGTCTCGAGAATTGCGGGTCTTTGCAAGGATCGACTTCGGTTGCGAAAGGTGGCCCCGTTGCATCGACGGAGACGCATGGTGCCCCGACCACGAGACTGACTGACTGATCAGCTGATTCCTTTGTTTAGGTCGGTGACACATGCGAGAAACGGACCCTGCCATTTTCAATCGATACACCGCCCCTGCCCCGGGAGCAGCCCGGGCTCACGGCACCACGAAGCACAGCCCGTGGAGTCCCAGGAGCCTTCGTGGCCCCGTGACAGGCCGCGACGTATGCGTAAAATCGCGCAGAAAACGCACACGCGTCGCGAGAGCGCATCGTCTACGCGTGCGGAGGTCGCGCGCTACCCACGTACCTTTGTAGTGAACGCGAAGATTGTTTTGCGACAGGCCTATGTAGTTGTACTTGTCCTTCGTGCTCCAGGAACGCGGCAACGGTGTCTCTTCCTCGTTCACCATCGGATACAGCAACTTGAGCCGATCCACGGGCTGACTTTGGCCCGTATTTGTTCTCGCCAGCAACGTATCACGTATCTCCATAGCAGTCACTTCATCGCTGGTCGCCGCCATCATTGTCATCTGCTGCCCCACTCTCACTCACACACACACTCTCTCCCTCTCTCTCTCTCTCTCTTTCTCTCTCTTTCTCTCTTCGCGTTTCTGTGTGCGAATCTGGATACGAATGCCACTGCGTCGCGCACGTCGCACGAGCGACTCACCTCTCGCAATGTTGCACAAAAACTGAACGAAGAATAGACGAGTATGCCGTCCCTTTAGGATATGATACTGCCCTCTTGAGGTATGTATCAGCATAGATAGACCCAGACTGCCATCTGCGGCCATATTTGGAACATGAAAACACTGATCGCACGATTTGTGCAGGATCAATGCTTTAGAGCGCAAACAGACAAGACGCGACAACGCGATAGCCATTCAGCATTCAGCTCTTATAGAAAATATGTTGCATTTTCATAAGAGCAAAATGCTGAGTGGCTATCGCGTTGCTCATAACGCGTTGCCGCGTTCTGTCTGTTTGCGCCCTTATTCATGCTCAAAATTACGTCTGCAGTAAAGTTGACAGTTGGCAGCTTTGAACTTGTCAAAGCTTGCTGTGCAATATTTCCGATTGTTAAGTTGAAGTCTCGATTACGATTGGTCGATTCTATAATTTGTTCACTGGTTGTTTGTATATTCATTGTATATTCAGCTTTAGATTCTTTTGGAACTTACATATTCTTCTAGAACCATACTTGGGTGCGTTCGCTTTGGACGTTTACGCGCTTTAACCGTCAGTCTGTCTTTATTGTTGTTTAAATATAGAACAAAGATAGACTGAGGCTCAAAGCGCGTAAGCGTCCAAAGCGAACGCACATTATGTAATCTGAGTGTTATAAGCTTCGCAACTAGAATTCCAACTTCATTTTCTAAATCGCGTAAAAAATCATTATTTTCTTAAAATAGTGTCTTGATTTTCTTGTGAATAATTACTATGTTTGAAAGAAAGTTAAAAGCTCTGGGTTACATGGATTGGGATAAAGTTAACGGAAATAGTGAGCAACTTTTACGTCATAACCTGAATGACATAGTAGAACTTTTCTCACAAATTGTGTTCGGCTATGTTAATATTAACTGATACTATAGTTAAAATATTGTTCTATTATATTGACAATAAAAATACTATTAACACAACATATAATTGTGTGTTTCAGATACTCAACATTTTAGAAAAGTGATTGCATGGTTAGAAGATCAAAAAATACGTCACTATAAAATAGAAGATCGTAAGAGCTTAAGAGATATTAATTCTTCAGAATGGCCAAAAGCTTTTGAAAAATATTGTAATGATGTCAACTGTCCAATAACTACAAGTGAAATTGACCAATTGGAATGGTTCTTAGGATATGCTATTTGGCAAGAATTTAGTGACGATTGTAAGTGTGATTAAAAATTTAATTTAAAAAACAAAAATACTATGATACTTTACATATCATATATTTTGTGATAAAAGCCTTGTTTATAAAATGCATATTTATTTATTTTATCAGATCAAAAATATCAACAAGTAGTAGGAAGCAAAGCAAAGGTCAAGCAAGAAATAAAAGTACCTAGTGTTAAATCTACAAATCCTCTGGACAACTTAGATTGTAAGATAATAAATTTCATATTGCAATATATATATAATATGTTTTATAAGAACATATGTAAAAAATTCTAAAGTTTGTATTTGTTTTTAGTTGATAGTGATGCTTTCAAGACTGGTGTTAATTCATTAGCAAAATTGTTAAGAATACCAAAGCATTCAGACCATCTTATAACATTACAAGCTTGTAGCAAGCTTGTATGTAATAAGTTAAATGTGGATGCAATGAAACAACAAAATAACAATGCTGTAACTGCTAAGGGCAAATCTCTAAACAGCCTTTCAGTAATGACTATTGCACCCGGTTTTAATATGGGTGATAAGATGTTGGACAATGCCGCCAAAGGTCTTTCTCTGCTGTACATTCAAGATCTTAGAAATCTGCAGACAAAGATCAATGAAACAATAGTTGCTGTGCAAAGTATAACAGCCGATCCAAAAACAGATACTAAACTAGGAAAAGTTGGTAAATAAACAAGCTCGTACATAGAGGTACATATTTGATATCTTAAACGAGCACTTTAAGTCTGGATTCAAGAAAATATTCTTTGTACATTTCAAAACAGTAATATAAAATTTGTTTCACAAAATACTTGTTAGAATATTAATGTATAGTAATTTATTTATTCATTTTATTTGAAAACATTCTGTTCCTTCATTGTTGCTTGTTCATGCCAAGTTCACAAATATATCGATTTTGCAAAGGAACAGTGTGATATTTGTTTACATTTATTTCAAAACTGATGTTTTGTATGTTAGGTAGGCATAAACTTTGTCTTACTCTATATAACAAGAAAAATATAAAACATTTTTGGACACTTGTACATATACTTTGTGTGTAATAGAGAAATAAATTTTTCCATAAAATTTCATTTTTTTATACTTGTTTAGTTAGAAGCTTGATTAGTTTTAATATACACATATAAATGTGCCTAAGTATAATCGATAGGGTAAAAAAACTGCTTTTTTTATTACTCCAAATATTTTAATCTAAAAAATTTATTATGTATGTATAATATATACATATATATATATATATATTCAAATACAAAGCTGAACTTGTAAGATTTAAAGAGAAATTGTTGAAGAGAGATTACACGTCATAAACTGGATTATTGTTGCGTCAAGACTTTATAGTAATATATTTATCTCTTCTCGAACACAAAAAACATCATAAATTGTATAAACGTGTATATATATTTGTTTATATAAATCGGAAATCATTTGCTTGCCGTATCTTATTATTATTCACATACCATGTGTTATATTATTAAGAATTTATATATAATAAGAAGATAGAAATATACGAATATAGAGAGAAATATATAATGAAAATATATTTTTTAAATTTGTTTATATTTATCAAAAGTACTGGAAAGTTTTTGCTCTTGTGTTAAAATTATCTATCTTATAAAGATAGAAATAACACGAAATTGTTACCTAAAATTTGTTTTTCTATCTAAAATATAACGTCAGAAATACACGAAAAAAGTAAGAGTAAATATGTCTTACTTTCCAGTAACTCTTTGTGTGTGACATTATATAAGAGTATAACATACAGATAAGTCTTAAACTAATGCAAAGCATATTGTATTTTACATATTATCAATAATTATATTATTTTTCAGTTGTTTTTTTGAAAGCATAGTACGTTTGTTAATAAATATAAATGTGGCAAGCACGTGTATAATATCAACCGGTTGCGTTGATTATTAATGCATTTGTATATATTACATAATTACATAACATTCGTTGATAGTTTGTTTATTGTAATTATATTTTAAAAGATCTGTGTGTCTCTCACTCATTTCTCTAAATCATTAATGTAACATTTCTAAACAAAATCAAGCACTATAAACAGGAAAATAAGTGTATTTTAAAATTATGTATATTTATAAAAATATAAAGTTATCACAGAATTCACAAATATCATATTTTAATACAGTAATAGTTTACCTTGAGCGTAAAGCTTATAGATCCGTTTAACTATCTTCTTAAGTATAACAGAGTAAAACTCTTTTATATATAAGAATCCTGCAATGTGATTGTGATATGTTCAAATGTAATTACTATTTTAAGATTTGATCTGAATGATACACGAACATACACTTAAATATCATTTAGTATATATGATTTTTTTACCATCACAGTTTTTGATATTGCATTAAAAATTGTATTTTTTTGTGTCATGTGAGAAAATCTTTTTTAATAAGGACATAATCACCTTTCCAATAACTACAAATTTTCTAGTTTCCATAAAAACGTTATAAGTATAAAGTAAATTAATCAAGTGATTGTTGTAAGATGTGTAAAGAGAATGTTAAATTGTAGTAAATTCTTTAGAATAATTGCTATTGAATGCATAATATCCTAATAAAGATTATATTTCATCTACTAAGGCACTCTATACTGAAGCTTCATATGTTAAATGTGTATTATTAGAGCATAGAGTATATTTTCTGACTATAAGTCAGTTTTAATTTGCTTTTTTTAACTAAGTGAGCAATTTTTTAAATATCAAATGTAAGTATCCAATATTTATATTTTATACTTTTTGTATATGTATGTAGCAAACTATAATAATAATAACAGATAAAAATTTAATAAAATCAATTTAAATTAAAAAACTTCTGTGTATTTTATTAAGTTAATATATTAAAAAAAAAAACAATAAATTATGAATATTTTACGTTTAGATTAAAAACCCAAGTTTTTTTAATGCATATAGAGTTATGAAAGTCTACATCTATCTCTGTTTCCAGAAGGCACTGGTTGCATTACTCGTCTACTCTTCTCTTCATCTTCTAAAGAAGCCTGGAGAGCTCTGGCTAGTGCTTCGTCTTCACTCATTGTTCCTTGAAGGTTATGGAATGACTGCACATCACTATTGTTGCTATTCTGCGAAATTGTTGCTTGAGCATTTTGTTTTAGCGCTTCTAATCTGCGCAGTCTTAATGCTTCTTCTGCTCCAATGCAACCGTGATCAGTAGGATGTCTGTGCTTTAAACAAAAATTAGCACCACATTCATTGCACTTTACTGGCACCATTTCTTTGACCTTGCATCCTTTGGAAGAACACTTATTGGAGAATATCTTTTTGCAGCTTTCCTTACAGTCATTGTCTATGTGCAATCCCACAGCCAAATCGGGAGGATCACCACGTTTTACGGATATAGGAATGTTGCACAAGGGGCACACAGGCACCTGTACGTCCTTTTTATATGCACTGGGACAACTATGATTTGTATAAGATATATGATCTGTGCAAAAGATTCCTGGACAAGCGTCGCACTTTAAAGGTAAAAAATCCAAGCGATTGCAACTGCTCTCAGAACAGTGCTCTCCCAAATTCGGAAATTCCATGTCAATTGTGTTATAATTTTTCTAGTGCGATTTCTGCAAATATGATTTGTCACGATATTAAATTCCAATACGTACACGTATCGTATGCAAAGATATAAAGCATGAGATAAGAAATATAAAGAAATAATACAAATGGTGTAATAAATGTTATAATGACGTAAGACATATATACCTTGACTCAACTAAAAATTGAGGAGTTTTACGAAATATTTACTGTGCAAATTTCGTTTATCTTGCTGACACAATGCAAATTCTGATACTGTATCAAAGAGGTTTGCAGCAGCAGATGTTACTAGAATTTTCGAATAATTTCGTCGGATTTTCGACGAGAGGCTATTTAATTCCAACACTGACAACTTCACCAATTTCACAAGACGTTTGCTTATGTGTCAACGTTTGCTCGTGTACTAACGAGGCGGACACGTGTACCTCCTTTATATATTCTCGCGCGGCGTTAGAAACCGATGACCAACGATGATTGACGATTTACGGAGCTATATCACACACGTCACTGGGATGGCGCTTTTTCTTCCCACTCTTACGTCGAATAAAATGCTTGTATGTATATTCTGAGAAGCAAAATTTTCTATTTTATCCAGACGTTATTAAATAATAGAAGTTATTACAGAAACGCAAATAAATAAAAGGAACAGATAACAAAAAGTGCAGCTTTTTCTGAGAAAAATATCAGTTGCGACGAGCTCGATTAGTAGTCGGCGCGCTTAAAATGGAGCTCGAACTATATAAGGTATATAAAACAAAGGCGTGAGATTTTAGATTTCTTTATTAATACATGTCTATATAACTTATATATTCTATACATCTAGGACATTTGCAATTTCAAAAATAACGCTTTCAGGTATCGCGCCTCGTAAACGACCGTCCGTTTGCCATGAGGAGAAATGTTTAGCATATCTTGTACATCAAATGGTTGATCTATCACTGTCATTATATCTTTTCCGTAAACTAAAAAAAAAACAAGACAATAAGTTGATTCATCATTAAAATTTGCAAGTTGAATGTTGTAAAAGCTATACCTTCGCAATGTTCCAAAAACTGAATGCATTCTTGTAATGTAGAGTCTTTTAGAACCACCAGCTGTTTTGCTAGTTGTTCCAAAAGCGACAAAAAACATCTTTTTGCATAGAACCACGTATCGGTGCCGAGTTTTTTGTTGTACGGCTCCAGACTCTTCATCACTCGAGATATACCGAACTCGTAATTACCTTTGGAACAATATAACGTTCCGATCACTAGATTTACGATGCACAAGTGGAAGAGTTTCTTATCTTGATCTTCAAACGATACCGCTTCTTCCTCCTTCTCGATTTTTTTCATCAGTTCTTCAGCTTCCGCGTTTTGCGAAGTCATGATATAGCTGACGCACAAGTTCGCGAGAACTATAGCGCTCACGTCTAAAATCTAAAAACAGAAGAACAATGAAATGCAAATTGTGGAAAAAAGCAAGATAATAATGAAAAAATATGTTTGTGTCTTGTTTTATACTAACATTGTCATATTTCTTTTTAACAATAGGCTCATAAAAACGAGTCGCATCTTTGAATTTATTTTCCTGCATAAAAAGAGTATGCGCTACGTTTAACTTCCACACGTCGTGCTCATTACAAAATTCGACGCTCTTTTTAAAAATCTTCTCCACTTGAGTGTAATTTTCTAAATCCCAGTATATTTTTGCTTGGGCCATTAATACTGGTACGTATCTTTCCAGAGCTTCTTCGTAATCGTTTACGGCCTTCTTGACAGCATTGTCGTCATGATTCAATCTTGCTTCCTGGACTTGCTTAGTTGCTTTTCGCAGTGCCTCCGTATGTTTATTAGCGAGATCGTCAAATTTACGATATGCTTCTTCTGGTGAAGTTTGTTCCGTTATAAGCGCGTCCAAAAAATCGTACAAATACTAAAAAAATAATATATTTCTTAAATAAAATCTTATTGTTCGTAACAATACTACATTACATACAAATCAAAATTGTATATATAGTAAGTTGTAGATTGTTATTGAAAGAAATAAACTAATTCAGCACAGATAAGATCTTCGCGGTTTTGAAAGGAACAAAAATTTAAACGACCCAGAGGGTGCGTTCGCTTTGGACGCACCCTCTAGAGGTGCTCTCGGAATTGGCGCTAATTTAAATTTATGTTGACAAAGAATACGATGTGACAAGATCGATGAGCTTGAAATTCGGAAAAGATGAACAAATTCAAGTATTTTTAAATTTACGAGCAAACGCGTGACGATTTTGATGCAGCAAGCAGATGGAAATTTCTAGTTTAGAAATCTAACCTTTAAACATTACATAACCTACAAAAACAAACTATTGTGCGTGTGATTTCACGTTTTTCGAAATAAAGACCATAAAATGGCATTGATTTTCCCATAACTTTATTTTAAAACAAAATCGAAGCAACATGACAAGGTGCGAATTAGATCAAATATTTTTGGGGGAAATAGCATCTGTTCAGAATTATGGAGCTTTTGTAAGATTGCCTACTACTTCGCAACAAGGTTTAATACACCGATCACAGGTATTATTGGAAATTTCACATTTGACACATGTTAATATATTGACTATAATGTAACGCAAAATTGACTTGTATGCAATTTTGTCAGGTAAGCTCAGCTCATGTCGACAATGTTGCAGACGTTTTGCAAAGAGGTGATCGTGTATGGTGTAAGGTAATTTCTGTGGCGGAAGATGGAAAAATAGGACTGTCGATGAAATATGTGAATCAAGGAAATGGTACAGATTTAGATCCTAATGGTGTGGAGCTACAAAAAGATATACAACGAAAAAAGAGTCTAGGTGTTACTCAACGGAAGACCATACAACTGGAAGCGGTACTCAACACTACGTGCACAAAGTGTGGAACCCGAGGACATATGGCAAAAGATTGCTTTATGTCTCCTAATGGGAAAAAGTACGAATTAATTCCAGAAATTGAGGAAAAACCTGTACCTGAACTAATCCAAGAAACCAATAAAAAACCAGTGGAAAAGAAACACAAATCAAAAAAGAAAAAGGCAAAGAAAACTAAGCAGTCTTTAGATGAAAGCGATACAGAAGAGAAAAAAAGTAGAAAGAAAAAGAAAAAGGAAAAGGAACGCAAGAAGCAGAGAAAAAAATATAGCAGCAGTTCAAGTGACTCCTCTAGTTCATCATCCAGCCGTGATACAAAAGTTCGCAAACGTAAACACTCAGAAGATTCTGAAATTCGGACAAAAAAATGTAAACATTCTAAAACTAAACATCACTCAAGTTAGATATTAATTTAGTTTTGACATATTATATGACTCTTTTACACACACACATGCGCTGCTTATTATGTATATATGTGAACCTGTAATCATGATAAACATTTAAATTGATGTCTAATAAAGGTAAAAGAATGATTAATTAATAGAATTAAACTTACTGGTGTTAAATACTTATAAGTTAGATGTACATTCTCGGCTAGAACATCTGCGGCCAGATCATAATATTGATATTTACAGTACAAAAGTAGCAAATTGGCAAAAGTTTCAGGAGGGAATGGGTTTTGTTGCAACAGGAACTGTAGCTTTTCAAATCCCTCGCTCGGTTTTGTATCCATATTTATCAATGCCTGATTATGTAGAGTAACAGCGTCGAGTTCTTCTTCAGAACGTGGTGGCATGTCTGTTAATGCCTCTTTTGCAGCGTCATCTGTAAACGAGTAAAAAACGACATACTAAAAAATTAGTTTACAGAAGTCAAAATCTGCGATGATTTAAAAAGTTACAATTTTGTAAGTGATATTCTATAGCAGCTTTCAGATTAAATGCCTCCGTCAAAGCTGTCTCGTGAAGAGTTAGCGTATTTCCGACACTTCGGACTTCGATACCTTCAGTAGTCATTCCGACACTTAACTCTGGGTGTTCTCTTATACCATGTTCAATAATAGTAGCTAAAGCAAAAAAGTTAAAAACAATCACAAGTGCAAATAATGTTTTACTTTAATCAACTTAATATATTATTATATTGTACATATAATACCGATATGCTTTAATGATGCTGCATATTCTTTCAGTTTATAATAGCAAAGCGCAACATTGTACGATAAGTGAGGTCTAAATCCTGCAATTTGCAATGCATTTGCAAACTTTTTAAGAGCCTGTTCATATTGTTCCTCCTAAAACAGAAAATATATCATGCGTTCACACTCTCTCTCTATTTAAAATTTACAGCTATAATTTTTACCTTGTACAAAAGACATCCTAAGTTAATTTCCGTATCAACATCATCGACGGGACATTGATCAACGAGATTTTTGGCAGAAACCATATCTTCTTGTCCATATTTGATGGCTGCCTGCAACTTTCTTACTTTGAATTCTAACTCACTTTGATTAATAATACTTGCACAAACTGTCCATGCTTCCGGATACATGCAAGCTTGGTGTAAGGATTGGGCATAATATAGTTTATAAAGATTTTCTTCTGGACATAGTTGGACAAGTTTTTCATAACATTGAGCTGCAGCCACAAAATCTTGCGTATAAAAATAACAATGCGCCAGAAGGGAGAGACAAGGCCTAGACTAAAGAAACGTTTTTACTCAGCAATGAAAAAGCTTTTATCTAAACTAGAAAATATAGTATCGCATAAACATACATTAGGATGAGAATCTAACAAATTTAACAAAACCTTAATAGTTTCGGTATATCGCTGTTCTTTTATCTGAAAAAAAAAATTAGATTAACATGCCTGTAGTCACAAATAAAAAATATTGAAAATTTCAAGGCAATATATAAATGATATATTTGTGCAGAGTAAAATGTTTATAGTTTTGATGTGTACCATAGTATAAATAGTTTTCGTGTATTCTCCATCCTTTATATGCACATTTTCTATGAAAGTAGTCATTGCAAAAGATACAATTTACTAATTAAAAACAAGTTATTTAATATTTCTTCTTTTCTTCTCTCTTACAGCTTCAAGCATGTACATGCGCATTGTTTTGATTCACTCATGAAGATTGGTTGCTAAGGAAACCACAAGGAGAATATATATCTAGTGCACAATGTCAATATTTTTTTTGTTTATCTTTTTTGTTTAAGAATAGGTTGTTTACATTGTTGTCAATAATAAATACATAAAAATATAAAATAATTATTCATAAATATTAACAATTATTAGTAAAAGATAAATTAATTGGTGTCAAGATATGTGTGCATCTTTTGATGAAAAAGATAGTCAGTCTTGCAACAATTTATTTGTTTCGCTTATTTTGTCTCTTTTGATTTGATTCAAACAAGCAGACAAATTTTCTATTTTTTCTATCATTCGTTGTAGTTTTGGTTCTTGTGTCTTCAACAGATTAACTGCATCAGAAAACCGTTGGAGCATTTTAAAATGCTCGTCAGTAAGAGAAGGCACATCTAGAACTTTTGCCGACGTTGTCAGAACTTTTGTCATCTACAACAAACCAAACTTCTAAATGTCTAGATATAAACAGATAATCTCATCTATTGATAATCATCATAAAAAAGACTTACGTGTATCTCATTAGCAAGTTTAATGCATTTCTCTAATTCTGTTGCACATTGCTGTGGATATCTTTCTCGAGAGTCACACACTTCAAACAGCGAATCCTCACACTGTTGTTCGAGATCATCTGAATTCGAGATTATTGACATCTTGATCAATTATGCCTGAAAATAAACATATGTTATGTATCGAAAGAATGTGTAAAAGATGGTTTTATATATGAAACTACCGTCGGAGTGTCAGTAACATGTCAACAATTATTTTTATTTAAACGATATAATCCGCGGGCTTACGTTACGTTATAAATGCTTCGAACGTGGACATGGTTCTATTCCGTGCTATGTCCACAACCGTACATACGGTACATAAAGCCTGTTTTACATTAAGCGCAAGACACAAACGCAAGTAGATCTTGAATAAAATTGACTAATCGCATTGATTAAATCAGCCCAATTGACCAACATGATTGGTCAATTCCACGAGACGTGCTGTTCGCACTCGCTTAGTAGACGCACCTGCGCATAATGACTCGACTATCTATGCTCATATTTGGACTTCGTGTTCTTCTTCTTCTTTGCATAAATGGCGCACGCCCCCGCACGAGAGGAAAACCTTTGGACTTCGTGCGTCTCTCTTTCTCGAGCCTCTCATTGCGAAGATAAGCGACTAGAGATATATTAGTGTTACATATATGATCCAGACTCATACTATAGGAACTCTAGGTTACGGAGATTAACAGCGCCTTTGTCGTCTAAATGGTAGAAAAGTGAAGCATAAAAATATGCGTAGAAATCGAAAAACATTGGAAGCGTTTTCTTATTTATATATTTTGACAAAAAAAAAGCACGAACTTAATCGTATATATTTTAATAGTTTTTATTTTTGTCCTTGTTCTAAAAGGTAAGTTGAATTACTAGGTATGTCACTAAGGTTTACACATTAAAAAATTTTGTCACGCAAGAGAAGGTTCCGTTTGTTGAAAAAAATCTATTATTGCAACGACGCATAAAAAAAACATTGTTGGCGGGATTCGCATTTAAAAAGATCCACGAACTTTTCACCAAATTTTTAAAAAATTTTATAGAGTGAAAGTTTGTTTACATTTTGCTTGTTAAAAATTTGTTTCTCGGAAGATTTACAACTCGATAAAGAAGTGATTCACTATTTATATTTTCAAATAACGAGCTTATTTACAAATTGTACATTTCACAATTTCTTTCTTCTCTTTCTTCTTCTTGCCTGTTATATAGGTGCGATAATAACATGATATTATGTACTTTAATTTAATTTGTATATTTATTTATACAATAATCTTGTTATAATAAATTATATATATTTATATATATTTATATATTTATATGTACGCATATGTATTTTTTCTGAACATTTGTATAGCACAGTTCTTAAGTCAAGTCATTCGTTTGAGTTACGGACAATGAATGCTTTTATCAAGTTCTCCTCTCATTAGCTGGCAAGTGGCACTTCACTACCAAACATATTCAAGAATAAGAAATAAGGAAAACTTGACTTAAGCGGATTACTCAGTAATTCGACGACTTGATTGTAAAGGAATGTACTGTATGCAAATATTGATTCGCACTTGGTTCATACCTTTCGGAATAATTTTACATGTACGTACACATATCTATACAGCATAGAAATAATGTTTGACACGATTTTGGCAGATAGATTGGCTAGGACAAGTTACACTTTTATGATTTACACAATTAATTGTAATTGATACTCTCACCACATGCACGCTTCCTATGTTTTGATTAAAATTACCACCAAGCCTCTCTATATTTAATTTTGGACTTTGCTTTCTTGCACTTACAATTGCACCATGTCTCCATTAACAGATAGCCGATCATGAATAGAAAAGTTTGTGGAAATAGCTCGGTATATGTATAGAAAAATACCTGTGCGAATCAATATATATCAGTTACTAAATTTTAAATGAACTCTTCTTACACAAAACAATGATTATTTTATATCATATATGTATGTTACTTTTATATTTTTATGAAAAAACGTAAAGCAGTACTTATATTTTCTGTACAAAATTGCTTGGTCCCATAGAAACAAGACCAGATAAGATACGTACAAATTATTATATCATAAATTATTTTTCTCGAATATTTCGGCGAAAGCTGTTTTGACATTTTTAATTTTTATGCATAGATAAAAATAATCCGCTATCTGTCAACGTACATAGCTCGTATTTTATCAGCCTAATATTATTTCTTAATAATCTTATCTAATAAAACGTCTCACATTTATAATTTTTTTTTAATATAGTAATAGTATATATATATTTATATATATATCATAAATATACATATGCAGAATATTCCAAGAAAAATATGAATCAGTAGCATTATCTTTGTGCACATGTCTTTTAGTAGAAATCCATAAGCTTAATTAAGGAGCTTGTTAAACTCAAGAAGCTACAAATCAAACAATTGTCAAAAAACAACTTTAAACTTTTGTTTCAGAATACAATCTTATTATATTTGATATTTAATATTTCCGCAATGTATTGCATTAATATTTGAAAATGGTTTTCAAATTTGAACGGCGTTAGTGTCATCTTTACAAGATATAGATATTAATCTTGTCACTGATACATATCTTTGCTAGGATATTCTTTATGTACATATAGAGTATCAGAAAAATTCGATATAAAAGCAATGTAGTAAAGAAGTTCGCGAGATATGAGTGATGTACTTTCATCATTGTATCATATCATAGTGATATATTCATTATTCAATTTTTCGCGAACTTTTTTGCTGTGCTGCGTTTCTATAATTAATCTTTGTAATACTCTGTATATACACACCTACACATTCATATATTTATATATTTTATATAGTATAAATAAAATTCTTAAGCAATAATTCTATACAAATACACTGATTTCTTCAGTAGGTTGAAGTACAACAGTTTCCGCTTAACGAACGCACAGTCACATTGGTGTCATTGAGCTCATGTCGTTACGACGACGATCGCTTCCATCTTTTACACATTGCAGATATAAACATATTAACATAATATTTATAAGTAGAGCATTTTTTTCTTTGTGTGATATGGACCGCCCATCAAAATACAAATAACTGCTGGGAAATCTCGATTCATATATGTTTATGGCAATGTATGCATCATACAGACATAAAAGGAGAAATTCCTTCTAGGTATACACTGATTTTGTTTTTTTATTAAAAACTTCTGGTTATTGTGACAATATTCTTCACAAAACGCAAGTTTTTTTATGTCATAATAAAATTGGGAGATATATTGCAATAACTCAAAACAACAATATTAATTATAGCCTCTTATTTCACTTTACTTTGATAATTTATTTCACAGCATTCTTTTAACTATTATAACTTTCATATCGTGTTTCACATTGTGCAGTAATTTGCAAATAATTTTAACAATACAATTGAGATTCGTGTGTTATTTACAAATGGTTTTTCTACAAAATACTGCTAAGAAAAAAGCAGTATTTTGTTATGTTCTACACCTACTCACTCAGTAGTGTCTACTTTATCTTTAATATCCTTAAATAATAAATAATAATTAAACAATAACAAGTTGATAATCACTATTCTTACGTATACATAACGCGTGTAGAATCACGCGTTATATGCGCCAGGCCGTATTATAGATCCATCTAAAAGGATACTATATTATAAATTATATGATACGTAACTAGAGAAAACATTCAGTAGGAATCTTAATCTCATATCGAACTACACACTGTTGGATATATGAAGTGAAGATCGCTTATTTGGCAACAAGTTTCTCTAGACATTTCTCCCTTTATGCCTCCGGCGCAAATCTAAATATGTTGCGTAATATACATATATATTCAAGTGACAAAGTGCTAAAATTTGTAAAGAAATAGATACAAAAAAATTAACATAATCACAGTTGGTTGGCAGGCTTGCGAGCGAGCGCAGGCATGATGCGTTTGGACAGGCTCTTTCGACGCAAATATTTCTTGTTTCTTTACATGTTTTTATCACTTGGTCGATATAATATCCCGATAGCCTGTTAAGCTCTCTGCATTCAAACAGACTGAGTCTTAAACATAGTCATTTGTGCCAGGACTTGTTAATGGTTCCTGAGCCTGAAATAAAGAACAACGAACATTGTACATGAACATACAGTTCACAAGAAATAATGGTGAAATTGTATTTAAGTAGTTATTTTTAATTCTTGTTTTACCTCCTCTCCAACTGTAGCTGCAGGAAGTGGGAATCTGTTTTTCTCAAGGCTAAACTGATCTTCTGTAGTTTTCCTGTAAACGGGGTTGTCGAAATTCATACTGGTAACATTACGATGTAGATAATGCCTGTAGCAGAGCACAGCTACAAGCGCGAGCATCAGTAATCCTATAGACACTACGCCTATCACAATGCCGGCAACTAAGCCAGGATCTGTAGACTCCGTTGTTGCGGTTTTCTTCCCATCTGCATCTGAAGAAAGTGGATCTAAAAAAAATTTTATTACACAAGTTTCAAGAATAATAAAGTGAACAAGCTAGTGTAGTTGAGAATTGACATATTAGAAGATACCAACTAAGCGGTCAGCTATACATGGTATATTTTAATGATATAAAAAAAATACATGCATACACATGCTGGGTTACATACTAAATATATACTTATTACTAGTTATACAATCTTTGTGTGTGTGTATGTCATAGAAAATATACATTTTATATATATAAAAAATGTATATATCTTTATAATATATTTTCTATGACACACGCACACATATTAAAAATATATATACATTTTTTATATAAAATAAAAACTCAAAGCATAAAATTTTAGTTTTGTCATGTGTGTGTGTGTTCAAAGTTTCTTGGATATTTATTGCAATCATATTAGGCATTAGAAGCGAGAAAATATATATTGCTTATATTGCTACAATTTATATAAGAGTAGTTTTGCATAGAAATCTATTTGTAATCGATATATATAAAGCATATTCATATTAAAATATATGAAAAACTTTTTGATAGCAAGTATTGGAAGGAAAGCCTTAAGAAACTCCTGAATACTTCAAATGATTAAATTATTTTGCAAGTTAGTACATATTATAGAAATACTTAACAATCTCTCAAAACCTCGTCTATGTTTAAAAAAATATCATCCAACCAAACTTACTCGTAGTTGTAGTAATATTTAGAGGCTCAAGCCTCATGAACGGCTTCGTAGTTGATTGCGTGGACGGTGCTACGGTGGTAGTAACTGGAATATCCCAAATTCATGCAAAACCAATGCAAATAAATGAAATGAAATAATATAAATAATAAATGTATACCATCTTTGAGCATTCATATCGAACATTCATATAAAAATTAATGTACATCTATAAATTCTTAAATAATTAAATTAAATAATAAAATTCTTAAATAATCTAAAAATACATAAATAATCTACATTGTGTATTAAAAATTTTTAAATATATATGATTTTTTTATAACATTGTATTTTCTATAAATTTATATAAGAAGAATCATGCAAAATGATACACTAATTATTTATGAAACACAGTTTTATGAGACATCGATATTAATGATTATATGCGCCTTATGTAAGCTTATGTAATGGTCCGAATATAAAAAGTGGAAGAACTTTAATAAAAAATTATATCTTGAAATTATTTCTTTTCTTTATCGGCTATAACAGCGTAAATAAAATTGCGTACGACATGCAAAACTTTCCGAGAGCTGAAGACTTTATTCCCATAATATATTGTAGAAAATTTACACTTGATTGACGAATAACTTTCTATAAAATAAGAAAAAATTATATTATCTGTAACGCAGAATGTTAATAAAAATTTATCTTGCTAGTCTTGTGTCATACGCACAAGATTTATTATATAATTGATACACATTACTATCTTCTTGTCCCTTGCGTGAAGTATCTGATACAGCAAGGCACTTAAATATTAATCAAGTTAAGTTTAATGTGACTCAATGTCAGAATGTCATTCGTCAATCAGGATATTTTCGCTTATGCTGACTCACCATTTTCCACGCACATCAATCCATCAGGTAATAATCGTAAGCCATCCGGACATGCACATGACAACTGTGGTGATCTAGAGGTGATTCTAGGTGCCGGCAAACATAGATGGCTGCAATGCCCGTTGACAGCTTGGCACTGATTCATTCCGTCGGGCTGTCTATAAGGATGATATACATGGACTACCATTGGATGTTGTAGCGTTCGAATTGACGTTACAGCTTCCACTTCTTTTCCGGTAAACTTGTTGGCTTTGAAGATTGTTTCTTTATCCCAATCAGTCCAATATACATAATCCTCGAAAGTAGTGATGCTAAAAGGATGCCTGAGACTATCGGGAGAATAGAGAACTGTCCGTCTACCAGTACCGTCATAATTGCAAGAACCTATGATGTTCAATTTTGCGTCTACCCAGTATACTCTCTTGCCGATCAGGTCTAAAGTTAAACCATTAGGCCATTTGACGTCACTGCCGATAATTACCTATAATAAATCAGTATATCAAATAAAGACACAAACTATATTGAAAACAATTTTAATATACATAATAAATCATATTATATTTAATAAGCATTACAGATATATTTTTTATGTTATTAGTTTTCTTACTGAGCGATGAGTTCCATCCATGCCAGCACGTTCGATGCGAGCTTCGTCGCTCCAATCCGTCCAGAACATCCATCCCTCCAAAGGATTTAGCGCTATTGCCCTAGGTTCTTGAATATGGTCTCGTATTAAAGTTTTCCTCATATTTCCCTCAAAATTGGCCAATTCAATGGTATCTTTTCCGGAATCAGTCCAATAAATGTGGCTGTAAATCCAATCGACTGCCAAACCATCCGACGTAGTAAGATCGTTCTCAATAACCACTGTGCGTTCATTTCCTTCATCTATCGGAGCTCTGAATACAATCGTTTAATTAATACATTTCACATGATCAAAAATCAAAACCTTAACTCTGTAATATAGTTCTACATACTTATAAATTTTCTTTTCACTGACATCGCTCCAGAAAATCATTCCAGTACGAAAAACAAAGTCCAAAGCTGTTGCCATTTTGGTGTTATTAACAATGGCGGTCATTTCTTGACGATCTAAAGCTACCTTTCGAATATCGTGCCGACGAGCAAATAACAGACTCGCGTGACCCTCCGCGGCTTTGCAACGTGTAGAATTTCGCGGATCTTTCAAATAACCGGAAGCGCAGCTGCATTTAAAGCCTCCTTTTTCATTTTGACAAAACTGAGAACAACTGCCGGGCTCTAAACATTCGTCGATATCTAAAAGATAAATCTCTTATGTAATGACGAAAGCAGCTCCAGACCTGAATATATTGTCGAATGACAAGCTTTGAGAAGTTAAAGTATCAGAGCTCGCAAAAAAACGATTATTTTTCTCTTACCATCGCATGTGCGATTGTCGATGAGTCTATATCCTGGGTGGCAGTCGCATCGGTAACCAATGGGCAGATCGACGCAAATCTGAGAGCATCCGCCGTTGTTTTTTGTGCACTCATTCACGCCACAGAGCTCGGTGCTTTCATCCTCCCAGCCGATGCAATCTGGATTTTTGTTACACACGTTTTCCAAAGGGATGCACGAACCCTCGCTGCACTCGAACTGAATCCGTGGATCACAGCTAGCGATTTTGCTTGTGCAATTTTTCTCGTCGCTTCCATCAGCACAGTCGGTTTTACCGTTGCAATATAAATGACCTGAACACGCGTATTATTAGAAATTGATTGACTTTGTGTTTTATTTATTTAATAACGACACAAATAGAAAACACTTTAATATGCAAATTTCAAAGTTTTGAAACCAAATACCTGAAATGCAAGAACGCCGATCTTCACATTGAAATTGATCGGGTCTGCAGGTGACATTTTGGCATCTCTGCGGGGATTCGTCCGCACCATTCGGGCAATCTTTCTCGCCATCACACACCCAAGTTTGATGAATACAAGTAACACCATCGTCGCAATCAAATTCATTGTTACAATGGCTTAATTTTGTTTTATTGGAAACGTCCTAAAAAAGAGCAACTTATAAAAAAACTGTGTATTGATCAATAAAAAATCAACCAACTAATAATTAAAACATTTTTCCTATATATTTCTTTATTTTCAATATCGATAAGATCCTCATATTTTTCTATAAATTACCTTGCATCCTATTTCGTCGGATCGATCGGGACAATCATAATCGCCGTCACATCTCCACCGTGACGTTATACAATAATAGTTGGAGCATGCAAAATCGGTCTCGGGATGACAAGTTACCGTTCTGCAACCTTTCTCGTCGCTATTATCTCCGCAATCGTTGTCATTGTCGCATACCCACATCTGTTGGATGCAGTGCTTATTTGCACAGGTAAACTCGTCAGACCGGCAAGTATCGTCTGAGGCAAAAAATTTTCTATGTAAGAAAAGTAGAACGATGTGTGATTTACTCACACAACAGAAATTCTTTTCGCGAAGCAACATTGATTTTTGCAGAGAATAATTTTCAAATTAACAAAAACACATAAGATTTGATAAAAATATTTACTTCTTGTCTTAATCGATGACTAAAAGTCAATTTATTATTTATACTTAAGTACATTTTTCAATGTTTATATCACACATATGTGGATGTAAATTAAATTAAAAGTTTTAACAAGAAAACTTTTAACAAGAAAAAGTAAGTATAACTATTTAATATTTAATGCTTGCAGCTTAGTGTATGTTTAAAATACACATCTGTATAGCATAAAACACGAAAACAACAAAGATTGTTCGAAAACAAAGAAATAAAAAAAAAAATAAAAAAAAATAAAGAGAGAAAAATATCTTCCGTTATACGAGAGATATCTTAATGTCTGGTTTGAAACAATTTAATCTAATAGTCTCTTTTCTCTCTCTCAGTAATTGCGTTATAATGTGAAACATATCAACAGATATCAGCTGATTCGATAACCTCTTACGATAACGTAAGACCTTCGCGTATCATCTTTGTCTAGTTCCGCAATAGCTTTGATATTTCTGTTTTACATTATTACACATGTTCATGATATTATGATTTCAGTATCATTATTATGATGACATGTTCGTATATAATTAGAAAGAGAGCGAAAACTATCGTAATATTAAATATTAAAAAACATTTGATGTATTTTTAAATATACTTCAAAATTATTCAAATTTGTTGGAACTTTTATATATGCAAGAATTGCTACTTTTTAAAATAAAGTTTAGCTTATCTAATAATAAATAACAAATAATATTTATTATTCCGAAAGTGTAAAAATTTTTTTAGCAAGTTACATTTTTTGCATATAGTTATTTTACTATAATATCTAATTTGAATAACAGAAAAATAAATAAGTGACAAATAAACAAAATTATGTCTAAACACATTACGAACTTTCACACATCAATACACATATAATTTTGATAACGATAAAAAATCTACACCACGATAAGAGTAACATAGACGTGCTTTTTAACGTAACGATTTAAGTGCGCAAATATCACTCTAGGAAGAAATGCATAAATTTTAATTCAACGAATTATGTCTGAGTGTAGAGAGAACATTTTTTATTATGAATTATATAATCGACTACTTGAGCTCTTCCAAAGAGACGAGTTTTGCAGGAAATCAGAAGTTCCCGGCAGGCACTTGTAATTTTCAGACAAGATAATTATCTTTTCTCCGATCAAGCGTTATCTACAATATAATTTAACATTTTAACAAAAAAAGCTTTCTACTAAGTTGCACTTTCGAGTTTTATAATTAAAATTGATTTACAAAGAAAGAAATAAAAATATGACAAGTGTGAGATACTTACGCGCAAAAAGCCGTCAAACTTGATGTACAAAGATATATATTAAGATAAAATTAATTATAAAAAAGCGCAATAATTGGATCGTGGGTAATACTAAATTTCGTAATCATTTTTTCTTACTTTTTTGTCAGCTTGGTGTAAATATCGAAACAAACAAAGAGAAAAATTTCAATTTCACCATTTCCAACAAACGTAATTAGACATCTAATTAATTACATGACAGAGTTTGATGTTTAAGTCTTACCCATCAATCAATTTTTGTACAAATCTTAACTATATTGACCGGTAAAGTAGCAAGGAAAGAAAAATCAGCGTACTACGGAAATATCTTTTTAACGAATATGAACGTGATAAAAAACGTAACTTGTACAATTTTACTTGTAAAGATATTCATTTGTCAAACACTAAAAACACGATATATACATAATATGTACAAATTTACTAGTAAAATATAATCAATTTTAAACGTAGAGTAGAGCAACCACATATTATATGTATATCGGCATCTGCGAGATATACGTAGCGTATAACGTATAATAAAACATAGATCGACAACAGAGACAGAGCAAAGCGTATGCTAAAAGTAGCCCACATGCAGAAGCTTACTGCACTCAGCCTCGTCTGAACCGTCTGAACAGTCTGGGTTGTCATCGCACATCCATGTTAATGCCACGCACTCGCCATTGCCCGAATGGCATGTAAATTGTTCCGGAGTGCAGGTCTTGGTTCCTACAAGATGACAATTGGCATTGGACCGACTTGTACGTATCCGAATATATACGACGCTTTTTTGACATCGCGATTGCAATTCGATCGCGTGATGGCCTTCGAAGGATAGATTGCATCCTTGCACCGTATTCATAGATGGACTTGAGAGAAAAGCGAACGTATAAAAATATCTCATTCCATTTGTGTCAATAAGTATATTAAATCGAAGATCCAAATTTCATAACAAAATCAATTGTTAAAAGATGTGTGATTGAAATTAAATTACTACAATGTGTTATGTAAACCAAAAGCATGCGCAAAACATCAACGCTTTATATAAAAGCATTGTAAATTTCTTATCGTGATTAGTGAGACAGATGTGAAAGGTATACTTGTTACGCTTGACTTAAAACTAAATTAAATTAACGTTTGTTACTTACGTTGTAATTTCATGACTATTGATTTTGTCAACTAATGTCTTTGTCGTTACTTAATCAAATAGCTTTTTCTCGTTATTATTTCATGATCAAATATATATGCATGCAATTACAATAGAAGCGAAAACCCAGATTTGCACACGCTGCAAAGCGGAAGGACGTGTCAAGGCACGAGGATGCAATCTGTGTCTCTTCGAATTCGCCAAATTGCGCTTCGCGTTCTCGTTTATTCCGTAGCTTTCCGGCTGATCTCGTTCCTCTCTCCTTGGCTGCTTTCCGGTAACACCTACGCTAAAGTACTTATCCGCGCGACTTACTGTGACAGTTCTTCTCATCCATGCCGTTGTTGCAATCAGTCTGGCGATCGCACACCCATGGCTTCGGGATGCACTCGCCTGGGCTGCATTGAAACTCCGTTTCGCTGCACGATGCTGTTCCTTTTTTTCGATTCAATATTTTCGATTAACTACTTTCCACGAGAATTATCTTGCGATTATTTATAACCGATACCATAAAAAAAGAGATAATGAAACTTTTTAACGAAAGTTTTTTAATATTTGATCGATAGTATGTTTATTTTTACTGCAGCTGTGTGTAACAGAAGACTTAAGCTTATATAAGACACGTTTCTCAGAACAGAACAATAAAACTCAATACTTACTTAACTTTTTTACTTAACTTTACTTAACTTTTTTACTTTACTAAGGTAAATATTAATTGTTTTCAACGCAACACGTGTATTATTATACTATGATTAAAATAATTAAATGCATTTACAAATGTTCAATCAAAGGATCTTGCGTCAGTATTAATTAATATTAAACGTGTATTATAGAGCATATAATTACGATAGTTGTGCGCGCAGCCTTCAAGAATCGGATCGGATATCATTAAATTGATCGATTAGCATTAATGCTGTTCTTGTGCACCTTGAAGTAAGTAAAGATTACAAGATGTAAGTGGAATATACGAGACCTATGCTCGGAATGACAAATTACTACTACATGTTACACCAACGCGCGAATCGTCTCAACATTTGCACGGAATTTCATCAGAAACATTGGCCCATTGTGATAATACAATGAAATATATAGTGTAAAAATAAAAATATACTCTCTGAGTGTACACCCAGTATGTATTGGAATACTTCACCTGCGCAAAACCGGTCTCCAAAGTTACACTTTCACATACCGAGACCTTTTACAGCCGGGATGCATTATATATTTTTGTCCGATAGTCGTATTTTATCATAATTAATAATGTGTAACGTGATGTACAATTTTGTAATAATTTTATAATTACGATTTTTGCGATTCACGTCGCAATTAAATTTCTACACGTATATCAAATTTTTTATTATGAATTGATCAAATTTGGTTAATTAATTTAAGGACATTAAATGAAATAAAACTGTTAGTTTAAAAGTCGAATATCGAGATATCTATTCGTTGTAAGAAACTGATATCGTTTTATTCTGTGCTTTTCTCTTTGCTCTTGCATTTATCTTTAGATAAACATTACGAAACGCGCTATAGCGTAAATCGTATTTATGTACAATGCATACATCACAAAAAAACATATTGCGACTTACTGCAAACGGCAGGATCCTCGTCAGCGCCGTCCGGGCAGTCCGGGTCTCCGTCGCAGTGCCATATACTGGGTATACATCTGCCGTTGGAGCACTCGAATTCCGTATCTTTGCATTCCTGGGTGTCTGAAACGTTCATGCGAGAATCAAGAGATCTCGAATTTGCGTCAATAGGCAGAATAAACGCGCACGCAAGCTGCAACAACAGGATGCACGTGCATCGAAACACCCGCAAAGGGCGTGTTGAACTTCCGTCGTCAAGTTGCATGATCGCAAGGTGAAATCGCTTGACGCACTTACGCATACAACACTATATGCGTATAGTATTGCGACGTACTCGAAAGAACTTCGATGTTCTTCAAACTGAGTTTTTCGCGGACGATTAAATTGCACAAAATTAAAGTCTATATATATATAGAATAGAAATTATAAAATTGTTAACAAGTGTGCTCGGTTTTTCAGTCCTGATAAATTATCCCTTGCTGATTGTTTTTATATTCTTTTGTCGATCGATAAGACCGCCGTTAAACGCTATTCTTGCATATCAACCCTCTTCTCGAAATACAAAAAGTGTTCTATTTACACGTCATTATAACGCTTCGAAAGATATCTTTGTAACGAAATTTCTCCGTATAACTTGCACAAGTCTGTATATAGAGTTACACTGATGTATTGCTGGTAAAGTCTCACTGACGTAAATTATTCAGAAACAAAGTGACGGAAACAAGTGTTCGTTTTGCTTTAAATTTCTTCTTGAGTGAGCTTCAGAAGAGCAACTCGAAACTTCTGTATCAAGATACTCGTCAGAAGGAGGAACTTGTCAACTTGACGAGCCGCTTCGTCGGCTACGGATGTATCTCGCTGCACATCTCACGAGTAACAGTGAAGCGAGCAAATGCAAGCGGAATAAAAGAGCAACTCTCCGAGAGTCGCACCTGATGCGAACGAGATGCGATGCACTCGCGATGGTGGTCGCTAATTCTATAAGGCCGTAGATCGGCAAAGGGGCGCCTATATATGGGCCTGGCACACATGCGGTGACGCAGAAGGAGAAAATAAGTAAGAAGAGGAAGCACGAATCAAAGCCGCGACTGTTGATTCTTATTCGGCAGATTTTTTACGTTTTCCTGAATCGTGAGCGGGAAAATTGCGCGCACATATGTCTTAATTTCGCGAGGATCGATCAATCGAACTTATTTACCGAGTTTTGATATCGGTCGGAACCGATTCCGGCGACGAAGATAATAGTCGCAAAATAAAATATCACTTGAAACGAAACAAACATTTTTAATTTCAAAAGCTTGAGACACAGATTTTTTTATATAAGACAGTATAATCTTCTGTTGTGTATAAAAAGATTAAACTTAAAAATATTTTACATTGTGAACAATTATCGAGAAAATGATCAAGTTTGACATAGTTTGCAAAATAAAATTTTATCTTGCTCGATTTTTTAGCAAGACTACTTTAAACGAAGAATACGATGCGCAAAAGAACATGAAGATTGAATTACATTTGAGTCGAGTTGAAATATGCAAACACTTCAGGATCAGCATAAACTCAAAACACGTTGACCTCAGCCATTTGTTACTTCACAAAGAATAAAGTTCGAATACATTATTTTACTTCGGTTCGTTAGCTTTTTTAATTTGCACGTACGTTCCAAAGAAATCAGACTAATAAAATCAGCTTTTGCTTTCTCTTTCCGCGATTGTTACATACACATAAATGTCGGTGAACTCTGCACTTTCTTTATCAATTATTGTTTCGTACAGTATTTTTGAAATTATTTCGAAAATAAAAACATGCAAAAACGTAACGTCAAGCTGAGAATCATTGTTTTTTCAGCTACTTTTCTCATGCAAATAACTAAATAGTTTTTTTAGTGTATTTGTCGATACAAAAACTTACACATGTCATTTGTGGCCATATCTCGCTATTTCTCTCAAGATATATAAATCTTCGATTCGCGTTGATAATAAATAAAGTCATAAGTACGGATACGCGAGAACTGAATGACGCATTAAAATGCGTGATTTAATAAGGTACAAAGTATCGCTATTTATCAAGTTCTTGCATGCGCGGCGACGTACTGCATACGATGCACGACGATAACACGAGGGTAGTATCGATAACGCGGTCGCGTATTGTCACAAAAATATGCGAAGTAGCGCAACAACGTCTCAGATAGCGTTTCAGCCAATAGAAATTTATGTAAATGAAAGCATGCAAGTCTAACTAAATTAAATGCAAAATTTTACGCTTACGTAATGTCAAACGTAATAAATTATTTATTTGCTATCATTAGTTTTTGTGTCGATTTGTCCAAACCAGATAACGTAATTCATTAACGTAATTCATTAATTGTTCATAAACTGTATAAGAGAATTGTTCTCTTATAATTCTACAACATATCGCCTGAACAGAAAATATTAGTCGTTTCTGAAGCAACAGTTGAGGAAGTGCATAAATTTTCGTCGTTCATCGTAATTTCCATGTGCATACATACGCACATACATCGCGCATCGCACACGCATGCGAGGCACGAACAAAGCGCGCACGTTGACGCAGAGCCCGTTAAAAGGTGGGACGTACACGGAATCGCGATTCCAGTTCTCTCTGTCAGTGAGAATCTTCCGTCCCTCATTGCTTTTCTCTGATTAAGAACAGCCGTCTCGTCATTCCCTTTTCATGCGCTCGGGCTTTCCGTTCCTGTCGACTAGATCTCGCGTTCTATCAGCGATCTTCCATCGCACGCGTCACAAAATATTTCCGCGCGCGAATACATTAATCTCTAGACTCAATAATTCACTAATGTGTGTTGAACTGAATTGAAAAATTCGGCCTTTTGCAACGCTAATATTTTCCAAACGATTTTACAAATCGTCTAAAAATGTTTGTTCTTCTTGCAAAAAAAATCCAGTAGCACTTCTATGTATAAAACTTGACTGGCGAAATAACTGCGTTTGGCTCCTCGCGTGAAAGAGATGCAATTATAAAAGATTAATAGCAATTGCGATTCTATTCTTGTTACTAGGTTATTAGTTCTATCCCAAATGCGTTATACGTCATCGAGAAATTTTGCGGATGGCTACACAAGAGTTAAACGCGCAAATGATTAATTAATAAACGTCATGTAATTATTGCATCAAATAACGAGACGGTTATTATGCCGCGGGTTGTTGTCATATAATAATCCCTGCGCATTTCCGAGTCGGTAATATTAGATATTAACACTGAATGCGCGGATATTTATCACTGTCTTTGATGTATATGTGGATGCGCAACCAATAACGATTCCTCGTTTAGATCTCTGCAATAACGTCGTCAATTTGTCATTGAATCATTTTTTATTTTTTCCTTATCGCACATACCCGACATTTTATGAACAAAATATGGATTGATTGACAATTTTTATTGTTCACGCTATTTCAAATGTATTTCTGAATTTCGTCAAGAATAAAAAAATAATACATGAAATAATTACATTAAAAGTAAATCAACAATGTGAAGCATAAAACTAAAAGAGCAAATAAAACTTTCATGCGAGATTTTTTCACGTTCTCGAGAAAAATTGTTTTGAAATCTTGTAGTTTTGCTATATGCTAAAATAAAGTGTGCACTAGTATATTTCGTAAGCGTCAATTTGCACGAAATATCGATTTACGCGAGTGGAAGAAAAACCCGGTACTACGCTGTTATATGCGCCACTCAACGGTCTGAAAAGCTGAAACAGACTAGATAATAATATGCACTATCACTGCCCGACTATTACGTACATTATGCATTCGCGCTGCGCGAAATGCGTGCGCTATACTTTCTTTAAATTTTCTTCTTTTTCGCACGTTGTCACGACCAATATTCATCGCTCTCAGGCATCCGTACTGCAATTGCGCGAGTTTGCATTTTATTCTTACAAAAAAGTATCTACCAATAATAACGGATTTACTTGGGATAACACTGACTGGTGATTGTGAGATTTCGCCGGTATTTCTTCTAGTGACGCAGACCAGTCGATTGATTTCAATTGAATTAGAAGTCATTAAGCACCAATTGATGTCTAAATGCGAAAGCATAGCATGAAGTTTGGAGAAGTTCTCTCACGATAAAGATTGCGGAGAGCAAAAATGTATAGTTTTCTGATTAGAAAAAAATACAAAATTCATTGTTTTAATAGTAAACCGTTTAATCGAACAAATTCTAATTTTGGATAAGAGCGTTTTTTGATTTGTCATCCCGAAAAGAGAGATTTTGTGCGCGATGCGTGTCGCGAAATTTCAAGAGGAAGCGATAGAGATACGGGTCGCCGACGAACGCGCGAGCCCGACGGTCAAGCAAATCATGCGATCCTATACACACACGTCGTCCCGTGACTGGCTTTCACCATAATTATATAGCGCGTCGGTAGTCGACGCGCGGGCCGAATCAACCCGGCTCCGGTTCTCCTTGTCGTCTCGTCGACTGATGCAACCGGCGCAGGCCTTGCGCCGCAAAATGCGGCGACCCTAAACGAACGGAGGCACGCCGACGAAGGAAGAACCGCTCTTCGACTTGTCGTCAAGAGGCGGACGAGAATCCCGCCAAAGGGAACAAAAAAATTTAATTCAGGTCCTGATGCAACATCGTCCGAGCCATGCAGTCGCATTAGCGCGCACAATAACGGCCGTTGCACTGTGCCTTAGGTCACGACAACGAGATCGACACTATTAAAGAATCTACTCGGATTGGACTCGTTTACTTAATGTATGCCTATAATGTGTGTATTTGCACGTTTACAAAGTTGATATTTTTCGATGCCACAAGCAACATAAACGCAAGACAAGTAAGAGAGAAAATTGACGCGACTCGCAAGATCTCGAGCTGGAATGGAAGATGAACACGCAAGAAGCTAACCGAAAAGACTTTACGACGAGGCTGGAAATCTGCGTGCCAAGTCCAAACTCCATGAATATGTTCCGAGAAGCGACAAAGACCAAAGTTAGTTCGATTTCGTTTGTCGGTCTCTCATTCGTTTTTATTTTGCTTCTTTTTGCTCGTTAGATCCTCTTTCTCCGCTTGCGGTCTTCTTTTTCCCTTGCCTTTTCTATCTTATTATTTCACGTCGCTGCACTATCGTGCCGCAGTTTGTCTATTTAGTTGCTTATTTAGCCGCTTGTTTATTTGCACTTCTGCACAGCCGCGCCCGTGTATAACCAATTTACACGGGACGTAGGAAATCTTCTATGGTAAATTAAGCGTTACAAAGTATAATTACATTGCATTACCGAGAAGCATAAAACTGCAATGAGACCAATTTTGAAATAAACCAGAGAAAGAAGAAATTAAATGCGACACAATGCGCATACAATTTTTTCACTTTTTTCACAAGTAATTAAGGAATTTAATTGGTAAGAATGAGACAACTGCGTTTTTTGTCTCGTCGCATCATTCGAGCGAGAGCAAATTGGATCAAGTCTGTCTGATGCAAGATCAACGAAAGGCTGCGTCTACACGTCGATTCTCACGTGATTGATCAGGGAAATCATAGGTATCGGCAAGGACGACAGGTTTTTTACAAATAAAATTTTTGCGGAACTGCTCCGCAAAACGAGTAATCTGTAATAGCATATTTATAAAATTACGGCGATTAAAATGCTCTCTCTTTTTTTTTCATTATATGGCGCCGAACGCAGAATGCGTGGAAATGATTACTGCGTCGTAAACTTTAACTCTTTTCTGATCGCGCTACATGTACTTATATGTAGATTGCGTAAACATTCATCGATCGAATAGCGCGACGTCGAGATTGGCTAAAGGGGCAACGACTTGAAATCGCAACCGCGAAAATTAATTTCACGCTGCGTCGATCCTATTCAGGATCAATAAAACGCCGCAAGAACGCGCGAACAAACACGCGAGAGGGACTTGTTTGTCAACAAATTGCCTCATTTAATTAACGAATACACATGCAAACATGTGCGCGTATTGAGTTGTACGCGAATTTGCAAATGCACACACTTCGCAGTAGTATAACACGGAATTTCCGAAACGTCTCGCCGCATTTCCCTCTCCGTCCTATTGCTTTGCGCACGTATAGAAGATAAGTACCGTTTCCGTTAACATTCGCAATCCTTGACAAGATATGATTAACTTGTATCTCTCTTTCGCAGAGTACGTGTCATCTGTGCTTTATCGCTTTGTGATTTCGCGACATTTATTTCAGATGAAGTAAATGAAAAATAAAATTAAAAGAAATTCGTAATTATACGCGAAAAACAGAAATAACAGAAATTCATATAAAATCAGACGGAAAAAACGATAGTTCAAGTATTGACGCAGCGCCAATATTTGTCATGTAAAATAATATTTGTGTTTCGGCGTCATACGTGCATTTGACGCGTTTAAAGAGTTCGCGCTTAATCCATATCAGATGGCGTCAATGTCATCCTGCCATCGTGTACAATTCGTATATTTCGTTGATTTGATTTTGCAGCGTCACTTACTTTTGCATTCCTCCGGACTTTCGTCGGAATTGTCAGTACAATCGTCCGTTTTGTCGCAGACCCACGAGAGCGGTATGCACCTGCCGTTGGCGCAGCGGAATTGTCTCAAAGGGCAAGCCGATTTACCTGAGAACCAAAGAAAACATGAGCTGAGAAAAAAAAAAAAAAAGAGAAAAAAAGAAAAACTTAATAAAAACAATGGACTTGAAATAAATAAATGAATTGCCGAAGTTCCGCCGTTGCGCGTGAGCTTTACAAAATTTACATGTTATAAATAAACGAATTGAGATAACGCCAAGACTTATAGCGGTTATAATTAGAGCGACTCGCCATTAGAACACGCACACGCGACTGCGACACATGATTCGTTCAAATAACGTGCAGTAATGATAAAATCAAATGTGAGCTCTTCTAGCTCATTTGTATTAACTAGCCGACAAGGTTACCTCGCAATTCTCTTGTTGACGACATGACACTAGATAGATAGAACGTAGACTACATCGTGTCAATATCTGCAATACACTCTCATCGAGCAAACAAACATACAAGAATATTATGCTCGTAAACATATTTGTCTTCATTTATTGAGTTTTCCAAGTACGTCATATTCTTAAAACTTTAAAGTTTGTTAATTCCGCGTAATATTGCAGTAAGATAAGATGTTCTTAGAGCGATATAAATTTTATTTCTCAAAAAACGATAACTGTGAGTACTCAATTGTACGATATCAATTTCCCGCAAAGGTATCAGCTTGCAGCGATGCCGTCGAAGGGACATAAAATACACAAAACGCGCCAAGCAAACATGGTTAACGTAATCCAAACTAAATAGACACGCGGTCTCAGATCGGAATCTCTATAAATTCACGTGCGGCTCGCGCATTGGTGAAACACCTTGACAACTCCCGTCGGGAATTGTCGATACGGATTTATCACGCGGACGTGCGCCGGCCATTTCCGGCTGCAGTTTGCACCGGTTCATGAATTCCTTGGTGGAATTATCGGATGATGCTAATAGACCGGTGTGTAAGTCAGGATGTGTACAGAACCCCAGGCGAATAAATGTGCAATCGACGAGCCGAGTTTTATACTCGTAGGGTTACGCTTGGGTTCACCGAAGAATCATTACCCTACTGCATTTTGCATTCCTGCGACGTGTGTGTGTGTGTGTGTACATTTCGATTGTCTCTTTTTCTTTCGTTTGATGTGAACAAAAACAAATTTTCGCAAACGCGTTACGTCTGTGTTGTTGAAACAAATGTAATCCAGCAAACTTTCGCACAACACAAGCAAGAAACTAGCATGATTTTGTTGACGAACGTTCTTGTTCGCAATGGGGCTCTCTGTTCTTCTACACATATATAGTAACAACTTTGAGGACGCACTCTAATTTTGTTACACCGGCGAGAATTTCAAAATCTTTAAAATCATTAAATAATTAAAATAAAATTTAAAAAATGATAAAATAAACCGAAATTATACACTTGAAATATTTTGTATATCAAAGGATAATCCTTTGTTTACATATTTCTAACACAATCATATTTTTTACAACTGCGTCAATTGATGTTATTTCTAAGTATACAATCAGTGTTATTTAATATATATATATATAAAATCTTTTTGATCGCAAGTATCATAAAGCAGTCTTAAGTGTCACTGAATCTCATCTCATTCTTTCTCTTTCTCGCTTCATGACATAATGTCTCACTTAATGTTTCCCATCTGTGTACATACCTACAACTCGCCTGCGCAAGGTATAGAAGTGTAGGTAAACACAGGATCATTGACAAGAAACCGGGACGATTCCGCACGCCTATCTGACTTATATAATGTGCATCTTCGCGCCGGCCGAAATCGAACATCCCTGTCGTAAAACTTTTTCGGTGGTCCTGTCTCGAGAGGGAAACTGCGAGCGAGATTCGCTGATCGGACAAATGTTGAGAGCACGTGAAGATCGCGATACATTTTATTTGTTCATACATAAATTGATTCAAAAAAGTAATCCAAACCTACTATACTTCATTAATTTAACGCGACAAACATACGGCGCATTTATTTCAACGCTCCTTCCAAAACTTGTATTAAATGCCGTGGGAATACATTGATACCCGCATGCTGCATTCCTGACGCGAGAGAAAATTTTGGATATGAGCAAGATAAAAGAATCGCCGCCATGAAAACTCTCCCGCGTCCTTGCCGGCGTATTTTTTATAGCAAATAAATTAATCGCGAATTGTCCTTTTGATTCCAGAATGTCATCAGTCAAATATACATTTTGCGAACGTAAATATAATGCGATACAATAACAACGTTAATAATTAACAAAGCAATATATTTGACACACATGATTGTAAACGATCGTAAAAGATCCTCTTCGAGTGATCCGCTTTCAGGAGATGAGATTAGAGAGTAACAGACGCGATGTTAAACTCCGTGTTCGACTTTCGTCAAAGTCAATCCTTTTATCGATACGTTTCTCAGAAGAAACGAGAAAGGTGGAGGACGATGGCATCAAAGTAAAAAGAAGTCAGAAATGAAAAACCGCGGGAGCACTTCATTATAAATAGAAAATAATTCTTGACTAAAAAACTGTGACAAACAAATAATCCAAGACAAATCGAGGATTGACAATTCGAAATGGAATTGCAGAAGGAAGCAATAATGCTGGGGGTGTGCAAGGCCAGGTTTCGGGACCAGGCTCTTCCCCGCCCCCTCTACCATCGTCCTATCCCTCATTCCCCTCGATTGTTGTTCCGAAAATATCTCGCTGTCGGATAAAGATGCGGACTTACTGTCAGTGGAGAAGGCGCCCGCGGCTGCCAGCACGGCCAGTGCGGCGAGCAGCAGCACGCCATGGTAGTCTCGCCCCATAACAACCCTCTTTCTTCTCACGGTCGTGTCCTTCGTGCCTTCGTTCTACTACTGTGTCACGGCGCACCACCACCACCCCAGCGCAGAGCGGCACCGTTGCCAACCTCTCGATGCTTCCAGCCACAGTTTCTTCTCAGCACCTCTCGCTCGCCCTCTCCTACCGGCTCTCTGTCTTCTCTTTCTTCTTATCTCGCGGTTATCGATCAACAACAACAATAACAACAAGCTGCACCGCAGTCGGATAGAACGGTAACTGGTGGAACCTGACAAGAACACGCGGTCCAGCCTCTGCTACGCATCGGTATTCGCGAAGCTGTCAGTCGAGTGGCCTGCTCTTTCTCTCCTATGTATTTTAAACTTCTTCGTCTTATAGTCTGTCTTTTTTCTTTTGTTACTCGGTCTTTTCTGTGGTTTCGTGCGAACAAAAATTTATAACTTGACGAAGTGCTGAAATTCACCGGCCCGCCTCGTATGAGACCACCTTCGTGTGTCTCATGAGATATATTCGTCTTTCTCCCTCCTTCCTGTCTTGCTCCCTCGCTACGTCGATCCAGCAGTGGCGGATTGTCACGTGAACGTACGAGTCAACAGCGCCCAGTAGTCCAGGGGGTGATTTCCACTACATTCATACGCACACACATACAACGCGACAACTTAACTCTTTATTTGCAAACTTATCAATTGACGCGCTTTTCTCTCTGTTTGTGAATAAAAACCTTTCTGATTTTTGTGTATTTATCATATACTTCTTCCTCGAAGTTTCCCCGATTTGTATGATGACAGTTCAGAAAGTCCGATACACACCACTTTGCGGCTGAAGAATTCAGTACTTGCGGAGCTGACAAAACGCAAATATTTTGTTTTCGTCAGATGTAGCAGTCATTAGAAACGAGTTTACCAGTAATCAGAAATGTCTCAAATACTTGCTTTCTTAATTTTGTATTTACCAGTGACAACAAAAGCAAAGTTTTTCCGTGCTCTGTATTCCGTCACTGTGATTCGGCCGGTTTCTTTCTGCTGTTTCTCTCTGCCACGCTTAACCACCCAGTACTAAATATCACTTCTCTCTCTCTCCCTCTCTTTCTCGCACTCCCGGGCGAGACTACATGAAGCGACGAACGAGTCTGACGCACCGACATCGCGCCACCTGCGCGCGCAGACTCATTCTCGCTCTTTTTCGCAAACACCGTTTCACGATTATCTTCTTCTTACTGCCGATGAAACGTGTACGTACTCGAAAGTTACGTTCACGCACACGCGCGTGAATTGCCGAGTGCTTGTGTACGCACGTACTACATACACGATATCAGGCGATTATACGTACAATATAACCCAGCTTAACCTGACCTATATTCCCTCTCGCTCCTTCTACAGAACCGAGTGAAATTTTTGCGACTGCGCGCGTGCACTATCTGTGTGCAAATTGGGCATTGGGCGTCATACCTACAATTTTTTTCAGATTACCTATCGACTTGATACTTATTATAATTCGTTTCTTGTGACCTGGTTGACGTTAACGCTTGAATATCCGAATATTCATACTTGTTTTCACAGAAGCATGTCGTATATAGTAGTAATAAAAACAATTTTTCAGTATATACACAATATCTCTGCATGATACATATACATACATATTACACACATATATATCTACAGCTGTAAATATAAATCACTTGAGCATTAACAACCTGAAGTAATGTGTAAACAAAAACAATGTCATTGCAGAACTTCAAAAACTTATTGTTTAGTTTTCTTTTTATTAATAAAGTCAAATAAATAAATTAATAACTCTAATTTCCACTATAGAACTAAAAAAAAATTGAAATTACAAATTTGGAAACTTACTCTGTACATGTAACAATAATCATATAATTTAACATTATTCGTTATTTGCACGAGATATGGTATCCCACATCAATATATCAGGTCCATTGGATGCCAAGAAAAAGTTCTTCTGTGGGTGAACACTTATAGATACAGTAGCATGTTTAGTAGGTTTAAATCCCGATAATTTGGCTACTACTTTTTGAGACACAAGATCCCAAATCCACAATTTGCCATCTGCTGAACCAGAGAGAATTTTTGTGTCTTGACAATCTACACTTGATTCTAGACACAGATCTTTTCCAATGTGTCCTACAAATTCACCAAGCAGTTCTCCACTATCCTTATCAATTAATCTAATTACATCACTGGAACAACTGATAACTATACATTGTCCGTCTCTGGTAAAACTAGCGCATGTAATTGGATCTATAAAAAAATATAATTCTGTTACAATCACTAAAATCATACATCTCATATATCAGTTATTGGTTTCTCCTCACCTCCCATATAATCTTCCCAAAGTTGTCCTGCACGTATGTCGTAGATACGTATGTGACAATCAAAAGAGGCTGACAAGATTTCATGATCTGAGACTTTTATACTTGAAATTGCGTCTTTGGCATCACTTAATATTTGTACAGCTTCTTGTGCTTTGGAACGTGCATCCCATAACATAACACTGTTATCACGAGATCCAGAAATTATCATTGAAGATTCCTCATTGAATCTGTAATTGTAATAAAAATAAAACCATACAAATTAATTATATTTAAATAATAACAATGAATAAATAGATACGTGTCTATAAAAATTTTAAATAAATAATATTTACCTCACAGTTGTAACTGGGCCTGCGTGTCCTCTGAAGCGACGTACAGATGTGCCTGTCGCCACATCCCAGAGAATCACAGATTTATCTAATCCACAAGATACTATTTGACTGCTGTCACAGGACGCGCAAGCGTCCATAACCTCATCACCGTGACCACCATACGTTTTCAACGTTACAGACTTGTATGGATTCCATAGTTTTAATTTTCTATCGGATCCACACGTTATACAATAAGAACCATCGACTGTAATACCAAAGTGTCAAAATACTTATCTGTCACTTATGAAAAACTTACAGTATTTTTTAACAACTTACCACTAAAACGTACTGCTCTGACAGCTCCTTGTTTACAGTCGATTTCTTTCACGAATTTGTACTCAATATCCATTGTTTAAGAAAAACTCGACGAAAAAAATTATATTTATGCATTACACGATTTGATTACAAAGGATCTACACAAAAGTTTATAAAATATATCCGTCTACTGAGTACTGAATTCTCCTATATAAAAAAGGCATTTGGACCGAGAAGTGCGCGTTTTGAAGCCGAATGTATCGCATCTATTGGTGCCTCTTTTCCGCGTTGCCGATTGGTTGGTTGGTTGATCGAGTCGAATCGAATTGGTAAGATCGAGAGAGTAAATAATGAAAAGCGATTTTGAGACAGGTCGTCGTATATGTAGAGAAAATTAAAAACGTAACTAAAGTCACGTGACAGGAAAAAGTGGAAAAACAACACGTGAAAATAACGTGACTGTAATTTATATTATATATAACATTAAATAATACATATTATACATATAATTTATTATATATTTATAATGTTATACTTTATATTGTATTATATGTATTATATACATATTACAGTAATGTCACTGACCTCGGCCGCGCGGCCTTGGCGGGGTCATTGACCTCAGCCGCGCGGCCTTGGCGGGGTCACTGACCTCGATCACGCGGCCTTGGCGGGGCACTGACCTCGGTCGCGCGGCCTTGGTGGGGGGGTCACTGACCTCGGTCGCGCGACTGCGGTGGAGTCACTGACCTCGGCGGTGTTACTGACTTCGGTCACGTGATTACGGTATATATATATATGCGTATGTGTATTATATATAGATATAGAATATTACATATAATATATATAATATTCTCTTTTTTACCCTTTTCCCTGTTACGTGACTTAAGTCACGTGTTGTTTTTCCACTTCTCTCTCTCACTATTTTTTGAGTTTGATTTTCATGCGTTATTTCTGACATTTTTCATATGTGTATTATATGGTTTATAAGACGTATATACTATCTGTCATCGCGGTGACAGGTTGTGTTCACTGACAACACGTTAAATAAAAATAACAATAGCGTGCGCGTAGCGCGCGCCTGTGTTGTGCTAAGTTAAATAAAATTATTTCACGAGTTCTTCAATGGTGCATATCAGTCGATATGATTCGATAATTCTCACGCAAGATCGATTCCTAGCTTGACGGAATAAGGGGAATCGAATATTTGAGTATTCGCAGATACGTAGTTCAATAATATTTCAAGAGATAAAACAAAGATTATAAAAAATATTTTTTTTATTCCACTATAAATTATCCAATTAATAGTGATATTAATACATAAGTGTTTATTATAAATATATAATTTACATATAAATGAGTATCTATTAGTTGAATACTTCATCAAATTGAAAGAGGTAGAAACGGTGGGTATCAAAATAATTACAATTCCTATGTATATGTGTAATATATAAGTTTTTAAGATACTGACTGATGTATTATCTATGTCTGATAGTGCACAAGAGTTCTTGAGGTGCGTTTGGACAGCTTGCTTTTGTGCTAAAAATGTCAAATTAAAAAAAAGACAGACTGTTTTTAACACAAGAACAAGCTATACAAATGCAGTCATAGTCATAAAAAAATATTAAGCATAAATATTAATACTTACATTTCTTTTGTAATATTGTTGTAAAATTGTATATTGTTAATAAAAAATATTTATATTTCGTTGTATTTTTACATATTTAGAAATAATTTTGCTGTGATGTGTGATAACATACCGTATAACTTTCTTAATTTAAAAAATCCATTCAGACACATTATGCTAAACAAAATTATTAATTAAGATCATTACTTAAAATTATATTTTATATACAGAAATTATATGTAAATTATTAAAGCTCTTTTTATACATATTTGATGAAAGTGCGCTCTCAAATTTGTTAAAATGGCAGTTTTGCAAAATTTTTCAATTGCACATTCCATTATGCATTGTATTTTATCAATCAAAACTAATTTAATTACCTTAATGAAAAAGATTTACTAAAGTTCTATGAGATTAACTTCTCTTGTAATTGTATCTATTGTGGATGAAGATACTGTTGCTGTGAATGAGCGTATGTGAGATCTGAACGTAGAAGTAGATTCCCAAGCTTCATCTCGTATAACACCCTGATTTCTAGGATACATGAGTAAAGGATCTTTTCCTGTTTTTTTGCATAACTCTTCTTGAAGCATGATTAATTGGGATCTCCAATACTCATAACTTGCTTTTTTGAGTGCATTAATCCATTGTTCCACTTGAGATTCAGATCGACCGCTCAATACATGCCGTTTCTCGTGTTCATCCCGAAATGAGATGCTGAATGCGAATACTCCTTCTGATGAAGTATCTATATTGATGCTGTAATTCTCTAGAATAATAACACCAGCGGGTTGTCGTGTATCAATTTGTCCTAAATCATTGATGTTGAAATAAAACAGCAAATTGTATCTCAGTTTAAACCATTTTTCTTTAAACACTGAAAACAAACGTATATTGCAGTAGATATACAAATTTAGAAATTAATTAAAGATGACAGATAAAACAGAAGAGTTATAAATCAAAGATCTGTATCGCATAAATGGTAAATTATTTCATACTAAACTAACCTGACTTGTGAGCCCTTTTGTGATTTAGACGCCCTTCGATATCTGCAGGCCCAAAGCTCACTTCCGCGAGTTCTTTCTCATTGATTCTCATGTCTGGTCCTCAATTCCGAAGATAGTTTAAATCAATGTGTCGCAAAGGCTATCTCGCACAGCTACGACAATGCATCACGTCCTCAATTCCTTCAATCATATTAATCGAGATTTCAAGATGTCTTTTGTGTTACTCGATCAATATGTGATACTGTACTCTCCCTCGCATCTTCGCCGCGAAAGTACTATCACTTACGTCAACTGTCAGCGTCGCTAGAGCGCAAACAGTAATCTATGAATAATCCTCGATGACGTTTCTGTCACTTGAGCATTATCGATAAAGAAAATCATAGCTCAAAACAGTGTTCACTCGATGAGAACGTGCTATATAGATTTGTCTCTTACTTAATTCGATTTGCTGAAACATTTTATATATGAATTATTTAATTTTTTCTTTCTTCCTCATTTTTGCCTTTTCTCTCTCACGAGTGCAAAAAGTGTAACACAACACATCTACAAATAACAGATCTTTTAGCGTTTCTTTCCCGCATACACTGTACTCTTTGTACTTTTTCTGTCTTTTCTTCTTAACCGATACTTCCTTATATATCTATTTGATTTTAAATATAGAAAGCTCAACATAGTTCAGCGAGCGAGAGAAAATTAATCAAGTTTTGCCAAGTTTTAAAATGGCATACGACCGATGAAATCAGATCGTGTGTTATTTTAAAACACTTATGTATTCAGCTCCTGCGCACAAAATGCGATACATAATTACGCAAGGAGCAATGCAATAACCAATCAATCTTTCTCTATTGCGAAAAAGCAGTAAATTCATTGGTTGCTGCATATGTTTTTTCTACTGCGCAATTGCGCACGTAGGCACAGTAACGTACAGATTTTAGCTTCGATAGTGTTAAATGGAAATAAAATAGGAAAGAAAATTATACATAAGAAATAATATAAAAATGGCTATTAATTAAATAATGCATGTGATAAAAAAAGAGAAAATATATTATATATTATCTCTTACGTTTGCTGATTGTCTTTATAATTATTACTGTTAATACAAGAAATGCGACAAAAATAAATAATTTAGAGGGGTTTCGATATGTCAGATGTGCGTTATAAGTACGAGTCTTTCAAGCAGTCACATGACTAGGTTTTGCGCGTGCGTGCAAAACTGGTGGGAGAAGCGCGTGCGTACAACAAGTGCTGAATTTGGGATCAGCGATGGCAGTTCCTTTTTCGTGAGTCTCGCTTGTGATTGGTTGATTCGTTTCTTGTTATCGGACAACAAGTTTTGTTGTTACTGACTTTACTTGCGCGCTGAAACTTCCAATTTAAATTATTTGAAAGTGCCGAATTTAATGGCAATATGAATAATGGGACTAATTATCTCTCATGTATTAAAGTCGTAAGTAGTAAATTTTGTTCGAGTTTGAACAGTTCGTGATTTCATGGAACAGAAAGAGAAATTTTTTTTTTATCTTTTGAAGACTACAATAATCCAAATGTATAAATGTTTTTCGGATATTTCTTCAAATATTGGAAACAAAGGGAAATAGGAAGGCCGAAGAGATAAAATCACGTATTATGGATTTTGCCACAGAACAACGCAATTTAATTGCAGCAGCTAACAAAGCTTTTGGTGAAGGAAAATGGAATTACACTGTTGTCAGTCAGACATTAGGTACATATGTAATCAAAACATGCTTGTAATCATTATGTTGATACACAATTACATGATTGTGAAACATTCTTATCAGACTTACAAAATGAATTAAAATTTGCTGCAGATTATGTTGAGACATTAGCTGACAGATGTTGTGTTGGATGTGTCAGTTTTGTTCAAGTTCAGTTAGATGACGGATCATCCCATCAGGATATAGGCTATCACAGTGCAGAAGAATCTACAAAAGGCTTGTCATTTCACAATGCAAGAATTGTAAGTATCTCATTGTCAGTAAAACAAATACAAGAGTATTTATTTTAATCTAACATTTATCTTTGAAAAGGTTAACCACTATTCTATTTTTATAGGGTTCTGCAGTACATGCTCTAAAAAGAGTTTTGTTATCTTTTGGAGATAAGTTTTCAAAAGAGTTAGAGAAAAAGGACCAAGTGCAATTTGTATTAATTCCTGAAAAAGTAAATAATATACAGAAGACAAATGTATTACAGAAAAATACACTACAATTGAAAACAAAGCTATCTCAATCACCAGATAAACAAATTCAGATAAAAGATATTCCAGTTCAAATTTCTGGTCCAGTTTCTCGTCCTGTTATTCATCTGCTACATGAAAACTCTGAACCGACTGCTACAGTAGCAGGTGTGTTAAAAATGCAATACAAACATGTTTACACTTTTTAAAAACCAACAGTTTTCAAAAACTCGATCGATTATTGGATAAAATTGAAAAATGACTAAAAAACGAGTATCAATCTGTTACAGTACTGATTGTAATATAAGTAAAGTTAAAATTCACTTACAGATACTCTAGTGCTATCTGCTCGAAATAATGGAACCACTGATGTCAAGCACCAACCAGCATTCGTAAAACCTCAAACATCTAAACTAATTGTCAATTCACCTTTAACAGCATCAGGTCAGAAACAAGTACTATTATTAGTAACAAATAACAAAACTGAGATCAAAACTGAGATTAAAACTGAGCCAAAATCAAAACAAGGTAATACAAAACAAATTAATTAGTACTGATTTCTTTCTTAGATCGTTAATGATTGCATGAGAAAAAAAAACATTACGATAAACATCTGTAATAAAAAAATTTCTTTCAGAATTATCTGTAGAAGAGGTGCAACGACTAGAAAGAAAAAGAAAACAACATGAAAAACAAATGGAATTTAAAAAACGCATGATGGAAAAAGAGAAAGATAAACAAGTAATAACATCTAGTGATAACATATCTATTGATAACAAACCGATGTCCAATAATGACAGTAAATCCAAGGAAATCAAATCTTAAACTTATATTTATATAAATGCTTTTTAGTTTAGTAATACGTTTTTGAACAGTAGCTTGTTACTAAGTTTAGCTCATACACATTATCATATCTACACTGAGTTTGCAAAGGCAAGTTTAAAAAAATGTTATTGCAGAAGTTAATTTGATTTACAAGCGCTAATTGCAATTAGATTTGTTTTTTAGATCAACTTGTAAAGGTGATCATCTTATCAAGTAGTAATTATTACTAGTTTTATATTATTTTATAATAAAATTGTGTAATTGCAATTTTGTATTTCAAACGATATTGTAATGTAATGTATTTTTGTCTGCTATTTCATTAAAGATATGATATAGTGTATATGTAAACAAAAATATGTCTATTTTTTATATTTAAAAATATATAGAAAAGTTGTATATATATTGTATAAATAAATATTTTGCACCTTATACATATGAAAAAATACATGTTTGGAATATAACGTTATTGTAAGTCACATGTGACTCATGTATACTTCAAACAGAGGTTAGGAATGTACAAAACATGGAAACCACATGTTTTAGAAACTTTGATTATTTGCATTATATAAAGAAAGTTAATACTAAATAAGTGCGGAGTTATTATTTTTCTATTTATAAGAGCAATATATGCAATTTGTTTTAAATATATATATATATATCCCTTTTTGGAAGAGTTATTGTTAACACAAAATTGGTTAAAAATAAAAGTAAATACACTACGGAATAGGAAACAGTAAGTAAATATACAAGAGAGAAAGTGAGAAAGCAATTTCTTTTTAAACAATGTTTATTAATATTATATTTCTGCAGTAATAAACCATGGATCAATATTTCAAAAGCTATGAAGAACTTGATGTAGGTAACAGACATTTAGTTAGAAAATAGATAAACGGTATATATTTATTATATGTGTTATTATTCTTTAGGTTCATCAATTAATGCTAAGTGACAAAACACGTGTTTTAGCATACAAAACTGCTATTTTTAATTTGAAACATAAATTTCAGGATAAAGTAGTAATGGATGTTGGTGCTGGCTCAGGTAAAAATAATTAGCTTGCATGTTGTGTGTATGTGTGCACATTTTGTAAACATTATAATTCTATGTTTTTTATTATATGTATACTATTATTATTAACTATTATTATTAACAAAAATGTGATGGTTTACCAAAAACATGTTAGAGAATATATGTAGTATGTTTAATACATATACACATGTATTAAACTTACTACGTATATTCTTGTAGGAATATTATCAATTTTTTGTGCTGAAGCTGGAGCCAAAAAAGTTTATGCAGTGGAAGCAAGTATATTGGCAAAGAACATTAAGCAAGTAGTGATTGAAAATAAAAAGCAGAACAAAGTTGATGTTATTCACAGTAAAGTTGAAGAAATTCATCCAGACAGTTTGGAGAAAGTGGATATAATTGTTTCAGAATGGATGGGATTTCATTTAGTACACGAAGGAATGTTAGATTCTGTACTTTTTGCCAGAGATCATTTCTTACAGGAGGATGGTTTATTGTTTCCATCTGTAGCAAAATTATATGCTTCACCATGTCAGTTACCAACTATGTATAAGTTTTGGGATGATATATGTGGAGTTAGTATGAGGTAAATTATATTATTTAGAAATTTTAGATTACCATCTTGTTTTTTAATAATTTCTTAACTTTTTTCACAAATGTTTTTTTATTATACAAGAATATGATAAATTTTACAATACATTTTCAATTCTGTCTTAGATGTATTGGGGAAGAGTACAGAAAAATTAAATCTGTAAAGCCAGAAGTGCTGCTCATAAATCAAGATGATCTTTTAGCAGAAGGTAAGCTGCTTGTTTGGTTGGACTTGAAATGTATTTCTCTGGAAGAATTAAATCTATTAGGAGGAGAGGATTATGTGTCAGTTTGTAAGAAGAATGGGAGATATCAAGGAATGTGCATTTGGTTTGCGGTTGAATTCCCAGATGGTTCAGAACTGTCTACAGGACCTCAAGATAAAGCTACTCATTGGAAACAAACTGCAGTTGTGCTGCCAACAGACATAGAAGTGACAAAACACGAACCCATCGCTTATAAATTGGAATTAAAAAGAGATTTATCGAATTCACGACATTATAATATGGAATTAAGTATGTTGGATACAGAGGAAGTAGAGCACGATGTTCCATGTGGATGTCACATGACAAAATGTATAGTAACAAAAGCATACATCGAAAACAATGAAAATGTATTAAATGAAGTTATAAAAGAACGAAATGAATAAAGAATATTAAACTTTATGTAATTTGACGTTTGATCGAGTTTGCTCTGCATGTCGGTAACATCGATGCACGTGCATGCAGTACGGAATAGAACCACATGTGTGGATATAGCACAGAAGAAAACCATGTACGTAACATACTCATCGTCAAATTGCTGTACATGGCTACGTGTCATTGTACACCACCGTGGACGTAGCGCTGGCAAACAAGGTAGAAAAGCGATAACAGTTAAAGTGGGGTCGTGGCCACTCTCATTGTCAATCTTCTCTCGTACTATTCATAGTGGTGTGTGTATGTAGAAAGAAGTGGACGAGTAAAAGTGAAAAAGATAACGCGACAGAGAACATGAGGTCGTGCCGACGACTCCGCTGTTACAACGCGCACGCGTAAGTTTTCTAGATTGGCAGTTTAGATAACGTTTAGGTTTGATTCGTCTACATAGGTGAGGTGAGTCGTTGTCCGCGGGTGTATCTATTGACAAGAACTTCAACGACGCAACGATCATATCCACGTCAATCGAGCGTACGTACCGGTTGATCGAGTGCAACAACTGACAAAATGAAGATGGCGGATGGACCCACGATTTTGAGAAGAAATCGACCTGGAACAAAAGCAGAGGTTATTATTAACGCCGTTTATTTTGTTAACATTATTGCATCTAATCGATCCCCTATATCTGTGCTATGCTGCTTGTTTCTTTAGAAAAACTTGACATTTTCTTTCTTCTTTAATAAAAATCATTGAACTTTGTTGTGTTCAGATAAACTGAAGCTGTACTGTATAATAATAATATTGCTCATTTAAGTCTGCATAAATATCCTTTGCTTTTGTCTTTCAAAATGTTTTGTCATCCTGTTCTGACATTTTATCAGCTTCCAAGCATATCAGGCAGAACAGATTATTTAGTTTTATTTAATCTAAAATGTCATACATATTTGTATATACTTGTTTATTTCTTATCAATTTATTGATGTTAGAATACATTATTGGATGTTAGGATAAAGAGAGCTATATTTTATACTATATATATACTAGATCTATTTTTATCATAAACTGTGTAAGCAAGAGATCGATTGTTCAAGAGCATTGCAACTATTTTTATAAAAATGCTTGTGGTTTTTCTTGTTGTAGGACTTTAGTAGGTGGCCTGATGAGCCTTTTGAAGAAATGGATAGTACACTGGCAGTACAACAGTACATACAACAAATGATTAGAAGAGATCCATCTAATATTGATTTAATACTCAATATGCCAGATGCCAATGATGAAGGAGTATGGAAATATGAACACCTCAGACAATTCTGTATGGAACTTAATGGTCTGGCAGTGAGACTACAAGAGGAATGTCATCCTGAAACATGCACACAAATGACAGCCACTGAACAATGGATATTTTTATGTGCTGCACATAAAACACCTAAAGAATGCCCAGCAATTGATTATACTCGACATACACTTGATGGAGCAGCATGTTTACTCAATAGCAACAAATATTTTCCTAGCAGGTAATTTTTTCTTATATCTATTCTTATATTGTTTTAAGAATTATTTTTCTATGAATTAATAAATAATCATGTAATATATAAATTTTCTGTTTCAGAATCAGCATCAAGGAATCGTCTGTAGCAAAACTTGGTTCTGTTTGTCGTAGAGTTTACAGAATCTTTTCTCATGCATACTTCCATCATAGAACGATATTTGATGAATTTGAAAATGAAACTTTTCTCTGCCGCAGGTAAATAAATGTTCTAAAGTATTTACCAATTTTCAGTAAAACTAAAATTTGTTACATTGTGACGTGGGATTCGCACGTGTCAATTTTTATTCTTACAGATTCACTGCATTTGTGACAAAATACAATTTGATGTCCAAAGACACTTTAATAGTACCTATTATGGAAGGTGATGGTGCAACGGAAAGCGAAGCATAAAATCCAACATTGCAATCGTATTGTTTTTCATATTGATATTCAAAAAAAATTTTAAACAAATATCAAACTCGAGTTGCCAGACTTAGTAAGACAAACTAATATTTACACACGCACCACTCTGATATGTCATGACAGGTATAAATATGCTTAAATAACAAATCTTTTTACTGTGTAACATAGCAAGATAGAAATTGCCCTTGATTAACGTTTTTTTATCAATAGCTATCAATAGTGCAATTGTTACGACATAAAGTATTTTCCGTGCTTTAGTAAATACAGCTTTTGTATCTATATTTATTTTTTTTGTATTTATTTTTAATAAAATCTGAGCAATCTCTTTAAAACGACATAAGAGTTACAGTATAGTCATAAAAACTATTATTAAATTTCTTAAAAATGTACTGTAATTTAATCAGTCATATATACACTTTTTATGATACATTTAAATAATGTAATGTTACAAATTTTTAACTATACGTGATTGAAGTTACTAAATAAGAAAAAATGTGATTTCAATGTCTTTACATTTTAAATGTAACATTTATACTTTATAACTCTCTTTTGTAAAAATAATAGACTGTATTTCTCTGTGTAAACTAAATATGTATAATGCTAAAGTAAAAAAATTTATACTAATTATATAATAATAAATCATTACTTTTATTCTTTCTCTCTATCTGTATGTATAAAATATATAACACAAATTCAGTTTCTCACAAAAATGGTTACATAAAGATAAAAACTTGTCCTAAAGCAATTTAAATGGAAATATCCGAAAAGCAGAAAATGAAATTGAATAAATTTTATCAGTTCATAACAAAAGAGAGAATATGAATTTACATAAATAATTGCAATATTGTTTTTACACATATACATGAGTATATTAATATAAAATAATCATAATCGTCATCGCATAGTTAAATCCTTGTAAAACATTATTTGAGCAAATGAGATGTAGCGACTGTAGCATAGAATTGTTATTTATAATGGAATATATATATACATATATATATATACATATATTCTCTATAGATGTAATAATTTATGAATTTAAGACTCCTCGATACTCGTTGCAATTTTCTTAGATTATGATGTAAGAAGCGAATTTTCTCACTTCTCAACATTATAATCGAAGATGATTATAATCGAGAAGCTTTCAGGAAGCTAAGAGCTTTCCTTCTAAAACTATCCTGTTATAAAAATGATTATGATAAATTTTAGGCAGATCTTGTGATAATAAGCGAGAACACACAAGATATCAATTGATGGTAGCGCGATGCAAATTTATTTATTATTATAATACGCAAGTCTTATATCTCACATAAGTTACGTTCACAAATGTTTATTATACGATCTTTTTATTAATATACTTGCATAAGATTACATGTTTTTTTTATATTCAATGCAATGGGAAAGAATATTATAATATTGTATATACAACTTGTAAGTACAAAGCCTCGAGTTATAGTACACGATTAATAAAGCGAGGGAGTGTGACGAGTCGATATATAAATACATATATTATGTATGATTGTTTATGTGAAAATCGTATATGTATTAATTAAAAATAAACTTTCTACATATGAGAGATATATTAAGTTTTATCACTATTCTATATATTTTTCATATTAGAATTTTCGTTCCAAAATGCGTGTATGAAACAAATCAAGTTTTTTTCTTTTTATTTTTTTTTGAAGGTGAGTTGGTATTGTCGTTTAGCTTTCTTTTCTGTTTGGTTTGTACTTCCTTTGAAGATGTGTCCTTAATATTCTCTTTCTTCAGCAAAATATGGATTTCCGGTATCCGTTGAGTATCTTTGCTTGCGTTCTCTTTCAATTCTTTAGATCTAGACTCAAATAATAAGTGAATTATAATAATTTATAACATAGCATCTGTTGATGTCTTTATACAGCAAACTCACTTGGCGTAACATAACTTCGTGACTTGACGAAGGCCTTCGTGTTTCTTCTTAAAAAGTTCTGCACAAGAAATGGCTTTTCCCATACCGTGTCCGGTTCCCGTCCAAACAATGCTGTCATGATTGGGGAATTCCTTTAACGCATAACCAAGAACATTTCTGATCTTGGTTCCACTTTTTACCTACAGAATTATTTTATGAAAATGTATGTAAAATGTTTTTTCAATGATTTTTTTGTATCCCTGTAAAGAATTCATGAATACTTACATGCATCCAAAGAAATTTTTCCGGTAGATCCTCTATCGGTACTTGTGTATTTTTCATCGTTTCTGTTATATCTTCTGCCAGCTCTTTTGTCGAGATCTCTTGTTTTACTCTTTTTTTCAACTTTGATCTTCCCATCTAAGACAGAATAAACATGCATTTTATTCATTAAGGCGATGATAAATTTTACATTAAAATATAAATTAATATTTAGACTTTTTATAAATCGATGTGCTTATTTAGTATTATAGTTAATTAAAGAATAAAACTAAAACATAAAAAAATAGATTTTGGCTTATGACGACAAAAAGAATGAGGGTAGCATAATGTTAAAGGATAATTAATTTTATAGATAATTGAACTTGTTAAAAACAAAACGAGCAGCGGTGGTATTTGGATGCTACGTTTCTCTCTCTCTCTCTCTCTCTCTTGTCTCTTCCTTCTGTCAGTAGGTCATGGGTTCAGTCACAAACATCGTTTCGCTGGCGTGCCAAACGTAAACCATTCATGGAACTTGGAACGATCTTGTACAATCGTACTCAGAAATATTTCGCTAATTGTGACATTTATCTAGAACTCTCGCACGCACAAGGATAACAATACGTAATGTAGAGAAAATTTGCTTCATTGGTATTCCCGGTTAGTGTCTTTCGCTTTATCACTTCGAGCACGATCCTCGTCAATTAATATCGGTAGTACCTGAGCACCGGTCTGTCAAGAAAGTCTTCGAGATATATATCTATAATTTACTGAAATTCCAGAGCGTACCGCGATGGAAAAAGCATTCGCTCCCAACGTCAAGCAAAGAGAGAAAGAGATCGTTGGCTGCGGATGCTGGATGGGAAGTCCCATCAATATTTTCCAATCAACATTCGATTGCCGACGTTAAAGCGGCCTCGTTCCCGAACGCGAAGGAAACCGCGAGGGGAGGTAGAGGTAGAGGGTTGAGATGCGGAGGTGTAGAGAGAGCGTAGGCTTATATCGATATATGGTAGAGGTATGCGCGGCATACCCCGCATAGCGTCGCGACGCCCCGACGCCATATTGCATTATTAAGCATCCCCGGTTGGCCGGGCTACCCCCTTCGCTCTTGCATTCCAGCATTATGAGCGTTTTTATCCCTAAAGGGCATGAGCCAAGGGACTGACACCCTCGGACGATCACCAGTCCGGAGGTTCGTTGTACCCTCTTTGAAATATATAATATCAAGAGAGAGAGCCTTCGCGGCGTGTCACGTATGTCCTTTCGTCTTGTTGGAATTACGCATCCCGGTGCTTACACACAAGAGGCTTTCAACAGAGTTTCGACGGTAATAGACGGTAAATCAAACTAATGTCCGCTTTATTAATTTTTTCTTACACCTCTGTATTGATATAATATATATATATATTTTTTTTATATCAATATGTATAGATATGTACATATATAGGTATGCTCATTCAAAGGGAGAGATTGTGCCCCGACAGAGTATGTGAGTTAATTAATTCCGAGTTAATAATAGATCTTTTCTAAATTGAGACGTCGCCCGCGCAATACAAATGCGAACAAAGAGAATTTAATTAAGAATTTGCGCTAATTGATGACCTAAATAAATGCATCTCTTAGGACGTGTCTATTGAATGGATGCAATTAATCGTGCGAAGCTGAAAAGGGGCAAAGCCATATGTGAAATACAATTTATCGAAACATCAAAACAAAAACTATTGTACTAAAAACTCCAAAGAAAATGTAGAATTAATTTATGGCATATTAAATAATTTCTTTTTCTTCAAAGTTTGGCAAAGTTTGGCTAAGTTAAGATGTTAAAAGCTTAACTGTTAACTTTGAAACACAACATTTAGATATAGCAATTTCGTTGCCATCAACATCTCGTCATAATCGTGTAATATTCCATAATATTTCTAAATTAATGTTCGAGCAGCCTGATTTTCCTCCAGCTATAATTATCGCACAAATTGAATGCCGCGTCAACCGCCGCGGAAATTTCAGAGAGGAACATGAGGGATCTGATTCCGACGATGATTTCGAGCTGTCTCTCTTTCGCTATCGCAAAAAAACTGCGTTTTGCGAAATCTTCAGATCCTCCGCTTTCCCGGTTCTTTAATAGTAAGGAAGAAGAGAGAGAGAGAGAGAGAGAGGTCAAGGGTTTTCCGAACATCTTGCATGGTTCGCTTTCAGTGAGAATCAGCAGGCGTCTTCTGCGGTTGGCACTCTCTCTTGACGATGCCTACGTAAACCTCCTTCTTTTTTCATCGTAATAAACCGCGAGAGCGCTAGCATCCAATTTACTCGAGTGGACGAGTCACCGGTACAAGATGTCCCGAACTATCGGATGTCCATTTAACCACAGATCTTTCGATCAATACCTAATCAATTTATGCAACGAAAATATCAAGATAATAAATTCCGAGATAAAAGTTGACAAATCAAAATTAACATAACAAATTATTTATTTAATTTAAAAGAATCGATAAAAGAATCTGTTTAAAGATCTCATTCAATAAGTGTACACCATTCTGCATTAGTCACCAATTTCCAGACGATTTCCAGTTCAAAGATGGAAAGCGGAGCAATTTGGACGACTGTGTGAATATTTCCGAGTCTATTATATCGCAGAATAAGATTTCATTGTGGAAAGTTCCGCTTTCATTACCAATGTTCTGTGGTTTTTGTCTTTTCACCGTCTCGATAAATTTTTTTAATGCCGCAGGTTTTTTTAAATATCGCAGTTTTTGCTGACGAAGATAACAGAATTGATAATAGAAAAAAGACTGAAATTTTTATATGTTCGATATGTATTTGTTACTAATGTTATTATTTTTATGTATTACATTATAAAGATATGTTTTGGTAGTGTTGTTACCTGTTGTTAATAAAAAATCATGTAAAACATCGTTTTTACATGATATCTTATTACTTATTTTTATAATAGTGATTATACAAGAAAATTTCCACTTACTCTATTGAACAAAATTTATGAAACAATTCAAACGTTAGTGGAATATTAAGAAATTTATCTTTCCTCACGCATCCAGAGAAATTCAACGTAATTTATGTTGCATATCGAATATGCAAAATATATTGTTCCAGCATCTGTTACGAAAAAATATAAATGTGCAAAAAAAAATTAAAAAAGTAATAAAAACATTAGTAATGACGCTTTTTATCCCACTTACGTTTTTTCAGTAAAATAATACTAAATATATCGAATAAAATATAAAAATTTATTTTCGAAGGTTTTTTCAATTGTTTTATTCGGATATTACTTTTTTTGTACACGCACGTGTTTCTTCAAACCGCAAGTTTGTTTGTCATATGTTCTAAAAAATTTCTTTTTTAATTACTTATTTTTTAATACAAGAAGAATAAGAAATTCTTTTGATAGAATAAATTAAACGAAAGGTAAATTGATCTTCATAATCTTTGACCGATTCTAAAGCGCCCACACATATACATGCAATTGTGTTGGGGCGGGTTAGTGGGATCCACGAGGCGCACGTCTTTTCGCTGAATGGCGAAGAAGTCCTGCCGAAGAAGGATGCGTTTGCGCAGGACTAGCCGATGGAATTTTGCGTCCTGGAAACCTCCGACATATATCCGAGGTAGATGGCGAACTGCTCTGGATTGTTCAGTTCAGTTTAATCGTCATCCGATCCGACAACGTAAGCTCGAATCGTGTGTGTCAACTCCCAATTCTATCACGCCGTATCGCTGCTGCTATTAGCAACAGGTAGGAAAACGCAATACGTGCGCGCATGAGACAGTCGCAAATTTTTCGAAATTGAGTGCGCGAAAAAGTGACAGTTTTGCAAGAACAATTCTCAACGCTTAAAGAAGATATTTTTTTTTACAAAATCTAGTAAAAGTAAAAAACAACAGTAATAGTTTTGGTGTGAATTATTTTGCGTTACAGATTGATAGAATTAATGTGAATATTTCACTTGTAAAGTCTTTACTGACAAGTTCTTTCTTATAATATACGTGCATGTTCTCGGGGAGAGCACAACGCTAGAATTTTGCTTAACGTCTATTCGATATCGATAATGAACCGTTGTTTTTGTCCCACTGTCTTATTTACTGAGTGCAAGACTAACGCGCTTTAAATTTATGTAACATAATTGATCATCAGCGCGTGGACAAACTGTTTTCTAGATTTTGATCCGCGAGAGAACAACAAAATATAAATTTAACACGTTTTCGAGCTCGAACGTATAAACATATAAATACGTTTAACGTGTACCATCGCGATACACGTGACACGGAAAATGTTAAACCGCGACTCAAACACGACTCTCGTTTCTTTCTGGCTTCTAAACAACTCGCTTATACGACATACGACACGTATAAGATATTATAAAATAATTTTTAGAGTAATATTAAGTAAAATCGAAACACGTATAAAAATTCTATAAAAAATAATTTTGAAAAAAGTATACAAAATATTTAGAAAAACTGATTACCGTTTAGCACGCGAGAAGTTTAAACTTGAATATCGTTAATTCTAATGTGAACCAGAATTGAGCTTGCAATAAGTTGTCATGGACATCGAAGAATTCCGCGTCCGCGGGAAGGAAATGGTAGACTACATTTGCAACTTCATGAGCAACATTCATACCAGGAGGGTCACGCCGGACGTTGGTCCCGGCTATCTCAGGCCGTTGTTACCGTCGGAACCGCCGAATAATCCGGAGTCTTGGGATGAGATCATGAAGGATGTGGAATCGAAGATCATGCCAGGCGTGAGTATATCTACGAGAGGATGGGAAAGGAATGAGCAGGATATTGAAGTTATGCGAAGCATATCAGAAATATGATGAATTAATTTTAAAAGTAATTGATTCACTTTTGTAAATGATTCCGCTTGAAAAACTACGTCGTACAGTAATTTATTGTATTACTTAATTTATATTCTATTAAAAAATAGACATATTAAATAAATGTTTATTTTTAATTAAAAAAATAAGTTTAAAAAGTGTATCGCACAGAGAAGTATGTGATAGTAAAAACGAAGTTTACTATCGGCTTTTAACACCGAGCCATGTAAACATTCTTCTAGATCACGCATTGGCAGCATCCAAGGTTTCACGCCTACTTCCCGGCAGGAAATTCCTTTCCTTCTATTCTCGGTGATATGCTATCTGATGCGATAGGGTGCATTGGATTTTCTTGGGTGAGTTGAGAAATCTATCTCTCAGGCAATTTCTAAGAAAGAAGTTATAAGTGAATATCACGTGAAGCGTTAATTATAACGCGGTGACAAAATGGCGATCTGTGGAAAACGCCATTTCGATTTTTCTGTCTCGCAATCTGATCTCACATCAAATTCGCGTGACGGATAGCTCACAATTATATTTACTCGATCAAAATGGAATCTTATTTGCTTTAGGCTGCCAGTCCAGCCTGTACGGAACTGGAAACGATAGTCTGCGATTGGTTCGGTAATTCTTTTTCGAATTTTTGTCATAAAATAATTGAACAAAAACGAGATTTGATTTAGTAATGCATCATTCTTCTGAATTACAGGCAAGGCCATTGGTTTGCCGACGGACTTTCTATATTTCAGCCCAGGCAGCAAGGGTGGAGGCGTTATACAGGTATGAGAGATTTATATGTACGAATAATCAATGTGGAATGTATATGACATAAAAATATTTAAGTATACTAGAAAATTTAATTAAAAAATTTTTTACCGCACTTACAGCAATGTTTGCTTAAGTTAAAATTATAAGACGAGTAGAATTCGGAAAATATAAGCGGACGTCAAAGGTTGAAACTATATATGTATGTGTATATATATATATATATGTATGTGTGTGCGTGTGTGTGTGTGTATATATCATACAATATATGCATATACATACATACATATATATATATATATATATATCATACAATATATGCACATAGGGTTCGGCATCGGAATGCATTCTCGTGTGCATGCTGGCTGCTCGGGCACAAGCAATTGCAAGACTCAAGGAATCTCCCGCGCACGCACACTTGGACGAGACCGCGTTACTCGGCAAACTGATGGCGTATTGCAGCCGGGAAAGTCATAGTTCCGTCGAAAAGGACGCTATGATATCGTTTGTGAAGTTGCGTATTCTCGAACCCGACGAGAAAAGCGTACTTCGCGGAGAGACCTTGCGACAGGTGCGTTGTCATTATATGCGGTGTAAAATATTAACCAAAGAATGATATTCCAAATATCTGCGAAATTTAATTAAATAATATATATATTATATAGACTTATATGCCAAATTTTGCACATATAAAAATTGATAGGCAATCGAGAGTGACATTGCTGCAGGCCACGTCCCATTTTTCGTCTCAACGACTCTCGGCACAACCGCCTGTTGTTCTTTCGATAATCTTAAAGAAATTGGTCCGGTTTGTAAAAAATATCCAGGAGTAAGTATAAAGTTATGCACTGTTCAAAAAAAAAAAAAGTAATATATTGATCGTTTAGTTTTTTATTTTTTAAATTAAAATTGTTGTCACACAGATCTGGCTTCACGTAGACGCCGCTTACGCCGGAAATGCTTTCATCTGTCCCGAATTGAAATATCTAATGGCCGGCGTCGAGTACGCTGACTCCTTCAATACCAATACCAACAAATTCTTGTTGACGAATTTCGATTGCTCCTGCTTGTGGGTTCGCGACAGATTCAAGCTCACTAGCGCGCTCGTCGTGGACCCTCTCTATCTTCAACACACACACGCTGACACAGCTATAGATTATCGGTTATACAGTTGTTCGATTTGAAACAAAACAAAAGTTTTATCTTTGTAAAAAATCTACAAAAAACCTATAGTCTTACCACATTTTCCCGCTTTCTAAATAGCGTTGATTTTTTACAGGCATTGGAGTATAGCGTTAAGCAGACGATTTCGCTCGTTAAAACTGTGGTTCGTAATGAGAAGTTATGGAATATCGGGGCTACAAGCTTATATTCGAAATCACGTCAAACTCGCTAAAAGATTCGAAGCACTTGTTAAGAAGGATTCTAGATTCGAAATTTGTAACGAAGTTGTGGTAAGAATTTCTCCAATCGCATAATTTGCATTTATTAAATTACTATTGATTTAATTACTTTTATATATCACACAGCTGGGTTTGGTGTGCTTCCGCGCTAAAGGCAGCGAAAAATTAAATCAGAAATTATTGAGCACCATTAACGATTCGGGAAAATTACATATGATTCCGGCGCGAGTTAATCAGCGCTACACGATACGTTTTGCGCTCGCTGCGCCTAATGCAACCTCGAGAGATGTTGGTAAATTAGTTTTTTATTTCTCGTATTAGAACTTCTCTCGTCTTTTTAACACGCGTCATCTTGAAGTAAACTCTGTATTGTTCAAGACATAGCATGGAGCATTATAACGGATTATCTCACCGAGTTATTGGAGTTCAACGTAAGTTAGAAAAAAGAATATAATGTTATATTGATAAGTTTGTGAAACGAGAATATTATCACGTGTTTGCGCACATTAGGACGTAATGGACGAGCTAGCGGACATTCGCGAGAAGAAAAGAAAGGCCACTCTCGAACAAAGAAGATCCTTCTTCGTGCGCATGGTGTCTGATCCTGCAATTCAGCCAGGATTCACGAAGACTCCGAACAGGGCAGCCAAACTCGACACGCAAGCTACTATCGGTGGTATCGGATCGAATGCTCAAATCGGAACGTAAGATAATTCTATCAATATAACAAATCGTTTTTTCTTAGTTGCTCTAGATTCAACATCACATATGTTTTTCTTTTGTTTTTTTTTTTAGAAAATCTTGGATATCCTGGCCGCTCGCATATCTCATGCAAGCGAAAGATGCAGCTGATACAAGTGAATTATCACTCAGGTATTCTATTTTTCTTTACTTTGAACTTCTATAATTAAATTCGTTTTTTTCAAATTTTGATACAAGTCTAACACTACATGTCTCTCTAAAAAGTCGTCCTACAAGACAACAACGCAATGTGCACTTTCAGTGTTGTGATAACGTGACCAACTATTATGCTCTCGGACAATTCCCTTTATCATTGCCATTCTATTGATCGCTATAGTGACATTCCACTGATAATACGTTCACTTGTACCTCACTATGTTCAAAACGCACCAATACGTTTTACTTTACGTTCTACTTTAAATTTAATCGATTCAATCTTTTTTGTCTTATTAATAACATACTTAAGTTTTTATTTTGTTTCGACGAATATATTTATCATCAATCTTAAAAGAGACATTAGAATTGTTTAAATTCTATATGCAGATTTCGACATCTGGATACGATGGTGCGTCTGAAGGCTGGTGGTACCGGAAGTCGTCGCGGTAGCAGTAACGGATGCAGCCCGGATCCATCCCCTTCCGCTTCACCTTCGCGCGGTAGATCACCCAACGGTCGAGCGTAATCGCATTACATCAATTTTTTCTCTCTTCACGCAATCTTTTACGCGATCCTTCTTCCGAGGAGTCCTCCGAGCGCGTGATCATCGCGAACGGATGGACCTTTACGCCTAAAAATCCTGTTGCGTGCTCTAAAATCGAAAACGGAAAACGAAAGGAATTCACCAACCTAGCTATTCTACTCCACAAATCTTGGAAATCATACTGTCGGCAGTCTCAACACTAAAAAAGCCCAGCTTAGACTCTTTATATATGTAATTAGAGAATTATAGAATATATATTTCTTCTTTCCCTTAGCAGATTATATATATATATATATGAAGATTATACAGAATGTCTAAAATGGGCTTAAACGGAGAATAAATTATGCATGAAATTGCTCACCGAAGGATATACGATGAGATGTTGCCGAAATCAGGTCTCTTATTTCATCCGATAAGAAATTAAATATGTTTTAGTTCCACAAATGTGCCGTTTTTTCTTACAAATCCCCTCTAAACCACAGCAAACTTAAAACAATTCAAGACACTTATGACGACAAGCGAAGCCATAAGTAAAACTAGATGAATGGAAAATTGCGAAGAACATACCTACATGTGTCGAGGATCAGCGAAGTTGTTGAAGTTATACACTCTATTACTTATTTATAGATTCTCTTTCTCTGTTATTGTCAACATCAACGTTGAATTATGTATACAATAGACAATTAGACGACTCGTAATACTTGAACAGTGTTTTCCGTTATCTAGATAAAATTATCTAGATGTTCATCTAGATGTAATAATTGTTTTATTTTATCTTTATCTAAATAATTAAAATATATGACATCTTTATCTGTATCCAGTGTTGCGCTTAGATAATTTGAAATAATCTAGATACAGATTAG